GCTTGAGTAATTTAGTGAAACTCTGTCTCAAAATAAAAAAGGGCTGGAGATGTAGCTCAGAGACAGAGAATTTGCCTAGCATGCAGAAGGCCTTGGGTCCAATCCCCAGTACTACAAAACAAAACAACCAAGTAGAAACCAAGTATCCTACAATGGAGAATTAGCTTAAAACAATAGAATACACAAAATAGAATGTGATACAGCCATTAAAAATGATGTACTAGAATAATTTTTAAAACATAATAACATTCTGTATAAAGTAAATACGGAAAGCAAGTTATAAGACTGTAATCTATAGCATGATCTCACTTTGTGTTCTGTGTTCTCTCTCTCTCTCTCTTTTGTCTTTTTGAGACAGGGTTTCAGTGTGTAGTTCAGGCTGGCCCTGAGCTCACTTTGTAGTCCAGGCTGGTCTCAAACTCATAACAATTCTCCTGCCTCAGCCTCCCGAGTGCTGGGATTATAGGCGTGTGCCATCACGCCTGTCTATCTCATTTTTTAATAAAAACAAGAATATGCAAGCAGAGACAAGAGGCAGCATCACATAGTTTATCTTTGGGTTGTAGTATATGGATGTCTTTTACAAGTTTTTATGTATCTACATTTTTAAAAATTCTGTATAATAAGTACATATTAACTTTACACTAAGGAAAAGAATCTATTATAATTTCTCAATTGCTGATCTAGCAAAAATCCTGCGGAGGCCAGCTGTGGTGGTGCTTAGCACTTGGGATGCTGAGGCAGGAGGATTGCTGTGAGTTTGAGGCCAGGCTGAACTTCATAGCGAGACCCTGTTTCAACCCCCACAAGCCTGTGGAGTTGCACTCCATAGAGTGCAGAAGTAAGACAAGAAAGTCACCCAGGCTGCAGACACCTGCTATAGCATCAGGATTGTCCCACAGCCCACCAGGAAGGGGCCAAGACTAAGTATCTGCCAAAAGTAAAGTGGGCCAAACTCTACCAAGGGGCCTTTGGCTTGTAGGCCCCAACACCCACATCCCTGCTGCAGAGTCCATTCTCCCCCCTGCTCTTACTATAGATCCAAGATGGATGCCAACCCCACCAGGGCCAAGTATGGCAGCTCCAGCACAGAGACTGCCTCATTGTGGCAGCTGCCTCCAGAGATTGTTAACAGAGACTCCAGGCCAATCACCACCATCAGAATCAGAGTACCTGGGGTAGGGGCCCAGGAATCTGCTCTTCAACCTCCCAGGCGACTCTCACAGGCATTTTAGAATTGCGCGGGGCACATGTGCACAATGTGCACTTCTTCCCTTAGGTTTCCGTGGCACTCAGAGTCAGAGAAGAAAGACTTCTGTTGGGAGTCTCTGTACGTAGATGCCTACATGTTTCTGTCCCGGATTACTAAGTCCAGGATGTGGAGGAAGTATGTCTTGGGATCCAACTAAGGACATAGCTTTGCATGTGTCCTAGGAGTTTTTGGAGCTGGGCAGCAGCGCATAACCTGGAGGCAAGCAAGGGCATGGCTCCTAGGAGTGATGACTTGTTGGAAAAGGGTTTCAGTCTTGCTTCTCCTCATGCAGCCCCCCACTCTTAGGATGCTAGGAGACAACAAATAATCAGTCCACTTTGGCTGCTTACCCACAAAGCTGAAAAGCTTAGCAAATGTTTAGGATCAGATCAGCCAAAGTGAGGGGCCTTTTGATGAGAAGCAGATATGGATTCACAGAGAACAAAGAATACTGCTACATCTTCTCCGAGGGGACCTCAGGAGGTTACCGTCCATCCCCCTCACAGATGCTGTAGAAAGGGCTGGGGATGTGGCTAGGGGTAGAGCACTTGCCTAGCGTGCATAAGGCCCTGGGTTCAATTGCCAGTATTGAAAAAACAAAGTGTAAGTAAACTGTGTTAGATCCTGTTATGGTTTCTGAAGATCTCCTTGTTCTGTGGTAAAAGGTTTATATTTCCTATGCACAGATGTGAGGCTTGGCCATGTGTCTTGTAGTGGCCAGCAACACCGGAGTCGAGGTGCTTTGTCACTTTCTTGCTCATCCATCTTCTGGTTCTGCCATCTCTCTTTTCTTTCCTTTGCCCAAACTCCAGCACGTCTCACTTTGGGGTTGCTCCTTATGTCTGGGTGCAAGAATGAAGAACATGTGGAGAACTGCTGCAGCCTGACCCACAAAGGACACAAAACAGCAAGGAGAAACAATTATATCATAAGAGCCTGAGATTTGAGATCATTAGTTATCACTCCCTAACCAAGTCAGAGCCAACTAAGAAATAGTCTTTTAGAACTGTAGAAACAATATAGCAATATGAAAGTGCAATTTTTAAAAAGAAAAGGTACCCATCCCATAGTATATGCCTTAGCCTTGGTTGAACAGTTTTAATTTTAGAGATACTCACTGACCAATATGCTGAAACAGACCATCACATCTGAGGCCTTCTCTCCCCCCGAGTTCCTTCCACAGAAAGAACCCGGTAGTGGCTGAGGACCCAGCACCCCTGCTAGAAGAGGCAGAGGAAAGGCCACAGTGTGGAGCCAAAGCCCATCACAGAGCTGACTGTTGTCAGCCAGTGAAATGAGACAGAGCAAAGCCATTCCTCAGCAGTGCTTGGCTCCTGGGAAAAGCATTGCCAGGCTGTTTCCTGTGCAAACAGTCTGTGCTGTCTGTTGACCACCCTGCCGCAGCAAGGCTTGGCATCTGCCTTGTTCTATCTAGGGTCTTCTATTTCCTGAAGTCTTGGTCCTGTTGCCAACAGTGCACATGCCCTAAATAAGGCAGACTTTCTGGGAACTGGGAGTGAACAAAGCAGGCATCATCCCTGTGTTCCCAGAGCCCCAGGCATTAGTGGGTGTCACATGGTGGGGTGCAGCAAGCATGCTCAGGTCTTTCCTCCTCTTCTAAAGCTCTAATGCACCATGGGAACTCACATGACCCCACAGTCACAAATAATGTATAAAGAAACTGTTCCAGATCATTTAATACTAGTTACCCCCAAAAGCTTCTACTGCCAAATGCCATCAACATATGACTTTAAAGGTTAAGGTCCCAACACTTGAACTTCTGGGGGACACATTTAAACTATAGCAGTATAGGGGCTGGGGATTTAGCTCAGCGGCAAAAGCGCCTGCCTGGCAAGCGCAAGGTCGTGAGTTCAGTTCCCGGTACCGGAGAAAAACCAAAAAAAAACTATAGCAGTATATTCACATTGTTGTGAGTTGTGGCTTGTATTTTGACCCCCACTCCCACCCTGCCAAAGTGTCATGCATTCCTAAGTGGGGCTTTTTGGCTGGGTGTGGTGGTGCATGCCTGTAATCTCAGCATTCAGGAGGCTGAGGTTGGAGGATCATTGCAAGTCCAAGACCAGACTGGGCTACAAAGAGTGCAAGGCTGGCCTGAACTGCATAGTGAAATCCTGTCTCGAAAAGAAAAAAAGAAAAGAAAGAAGAAAAATAAGTGGAGCTTTTTGGAGCTGGCTGGATCTAGGGTGTGTGATACTGGGATTAAAGGTGTATGGTACTAAATTAGTCTGCTGATTGCTTTGGCATAGTTCTGGGTGTGGAGAAAAGGAAGGTCCACCTTATGTGAGGGTGGCATCAACCAAAGGGCTTGTAGCCTGGATGGGATAAAAGGGAAAAGTAGGCTGCTGCTGCTTCACTGCCTGCCTGCCCTGCCATGAACTTTTTGTTCTCTGCCGTGCCTTCTGCTGTGCCATCCTGCCTTGGAGCCAGCTGACTAGGGATTGAAACCTCCACAAACTATGAGACGGAAATAAACCTTTCTTCCTTTAACTTGTGGCTGTTGGTTATTTTGTCTCAGCAATGAGAAGAGTAACTAAGATTGATTGTGTGCAATCAATCTTCAGAACTTTTACATTATGCAAAACTGAAACTCCATACCATTAGGCAGCACGTCCTCCATTCCCTGGGAAGCACATTCTACTTTCTGTTTCTATGAACTGACTACTCCAGGTAGCTCATACAAGTGGAACCACACAGTATTTGCCTATTTTGACTGATTTACCTCACTCAGTATCATGTCCCCAAGGTTTGTCTACATTGTAACATAGATCAGACTTTCCTTCCTTTTTAAGGCTGAATAATATTACATAGCACACAGATACCACATTTTGTTTATTCCTTCACTCTGGCTACTGTGTATCAACTCCTAAGAATGTAGTGGACAAAAAGAAGTGATTTTCAAATTGCTGGGTGGAGGACTGGAAAAGGGCAATGGGAAGCAGGAAGACCAGATAGATCTGCCAGAACCTGGTTCCCTTCATGCTCAGCGCCCTGTTTTTAGAAGTCCTCCTGTCTAGCCGGCCTCTCTCTTCTTAAGTCCAGCACATCCCAGTGTAGACAGATATGCTATTTATGCATATTTCTCTCCCACAGACTGTGAGTTCTCTGAGGGGCTCCTGGACAGTCTCCAGTCCTGTGCTGGTTAGTCTTCCAGAGAGGAAATGGGATGTATACAAGCGGAGTCTTTGGAGGCCTCTGCGGGCACAGCCTGTTCTTGCAGCTAACCCGGAGCTCACTCTCGGGGGTGCATGTTTGGTTTTCTGCTCCCGGGAATGCAAGCTTGAGTGTTTATGGAGATTTGAAGCTGTGATGAAAGCATCTCTATTTGTGCTGCTAGAGTCTGTGAGGCCTTTCTTTAAACCAAGAGTACATCCAGAACTTGGGCTACTGGGCTGGGGAGAGGTGTGGCGCGGGAGCAGCAAGGCTAACCCTAACTTGCTCTGAGCCCCAGGCAGCACCCCTGGGTGAGTAGAGGCAGGGTTCCTGAGCCAGATCCTTTGGGGCGCACAGGCAGAGGAAGGTGCAGGGGCTGTGGCCTGCTTAGGTGTCCCTACCAGGTTTTGCGAGGTAGACAGAGCCCAGGCGGCGCCCAGCCGGGCCCACCCAGCCCGGCGGTGACCACCTGGCAGCCTGACCAGACATTCCGCCCCTGCCGCCGGAACGCGAGACCCGCTCGGCGGTGGCCCGGGGCGGGGTCATTGGCGCCTGGCGAGCGCGGACCGGGCGGGGTCACCGACGCGGGACCTTTAAATTGGCCGCCACTGCCCGCCTGGCCCAGCGACCTGAGCACCATGCCACGCCCGCTGCCCCGACGCCTGCTGCTGCTCTGGCCGCTGCTGCTGCCGCTGCTGCCACCGCCCGCCTCCCCAGGGCCCCTGGCCGGCCCAGCCGTCGCGAGGCTGGGGACCCGCAGACCCGCCGGCAGCCCTGGGGGCCGCGGTTCAGGTACAGGGGCGGGGGTGGCCTGCGGGACGCCGAGGAGGAGGGGAGCCTGGGGCACCCCGGTCTCTCTGTTCCGGCCCGGGAGGAAGAATCCCGTGCGAAGCTGAGGTCCAGAAGAGGGAATGGGGTACCCAGGCCACTCCTACGTGAGAGCTACAACTTGTGTCTCATGAGCCGAGTGGGTCCGGGATTGGGCAGAAGCACAGGCCAGCTGTACCTGCCAGCTTTGGTCCAGCGACCCCTGCTTCCACTGAGAAGTCGTCCTCCCCCTCTCCCCTCCTGGCTCCCAGAACTCCTCTGTCTCTACCCTGGGGGAGCGCAGGACTCTTTCATCCCTCCGCTCCCGCCCAGCAGCTGCTCCATGCAATCCTGCGTTTTGCAGAGGGGAGGGCTGTGCGTGGAGGTGTGAGGCCACGAAGGACACCGGCAGAGCCATCTGGATGCCCAGCACCTGAGCCACCCTGCCTCAACTCTGTTCTGCTGAGCCGAGGTTTTTTAGAACTGCCGGCCCCAGCCCAGCCTCTGCTGAGATCCCAAAGACTCCAGACACTGAGTTGGTTGCGAGCAATTCTGTTTTCCGTTTTGGTCAGTAACTGGTTCCGAGGCAGAGCAAAGCTTCTAGAGCAGCAAAACGTGGTTATCTGATGTGACCCTGGAAGGCGCACCCGGGGAAACAGAAGCTTTTCAGAGCGCAGGCTCCCAGCCCATAAGCGCAGGAGCCCGGAATAAAACCAGCCTTAAAATCCTAACCACAGGCTTCTTCCACTGCTCCAACCTATCCAGCTTTTCCTTTGGTTTTTGTAAGATTTTATCTTCATTACCAGAAGCCCAGCTTCAGCCCTGGTCAAGATAGGCAGTGTCAACCCATTTCCTGGGGTCTCCCGGCATCTGCCAGCTGTGCTGAGTGTTGGGTAACCCGATGGTCTGTCCCTCCTGTGCCTTTGGATGTGTTGAGAAGGAGCTCAGGGGTCTCTTCTCCTTAACATCTGAGCATTCCAAGGCAACTTTGGAAGGGGGAAACATTGCCACGGAGGCAGGAGGGGCCAGAGTCCCAGATTCCCAAGGGTACAGTTCAGCCGGTAGCTGGCTGGTTGTTCCAGGCCAGGAAGGGGGAAAAGCCTTTTTTCTAGCATCAGATTTACTCTGGTCCTCATCTGCCTGCCCAAGGAAGGGTAGAAGGAGGTGACATTCTGCCTGGGGTGACCATGCTCCCCCAAGCTGTGCCAATCCTTTACTACCTAGAATCCACACACTTGGTCTTGAATCCCTTAATAAACACCAGTGCTCAGGAGCTGGGGATTTAGGCTCAGTGGCACAGGGCCTGCCCGGCAAGTGCAAGGTTGTGAGTTTGATCCCCGGTACCAGAAAAAAAAAACACCCCCAAAAAACCAAAAAAACACACCAATGCTCTGCATTTTTTCCTAAATTCTCTCCCCTCTTGCAAGGAATGGCTAAGCTTTGCTATGGGCTTTTATTTTTAGCAAAACTTTAAAAATAGTAATATTGTGCTCATGGAAACCTTTTAAGAGGTTAAATTTGTGTGTGTGTGTGTGTGGGGGTGTTAGGGATTAAATTAGGGATATACTGTACCGCTGAGCTATAACCCTGGCCCTTTTTCATTAGTTTTATTTTGAGGCAAGCTCTTGCTAAACTGCCCCAGCTGGCCTTGAGTTTATGATTTTCCTGCCTCAACATTACAACTAGCTGAGATAATTTCATTGTTTGAGAATCAAATTCCTGCTATTTCCAATGGGGAAGTGAGAATAAATCAAAGAAGGTTGGGGAGCTAGTCAGTGCAAAGGCCATGGGTTCAATCCCTAGGTATTGCAACAAACAAACCAACAAGTAATTAGTGCCTTCTGTTGGGAGAGTACAAATTAGGAGAGAACAGGGTAGTCAAAACTGCCTGCCAATCTGGTCAAGATCCTTGGATTAGTTTTCTGTTGCTGCTATAACAACAGGCCATGAATTTAGAAACTTAAAATAACACAGGTCCTGTTAGTGTTTGTGGGTCAGAGCCTGACAGGGGTCTCCTCTGGCAACCTCAAGGTGCGGCCCAAGGAGAAAAATGTCTGCCTGCCTTTCCCATCTTCCTGGAGGTAGTGTGCGCTAGTCGTGGCCTTAGTTTTCCCTCCCCAAGCCAGTACCAGCAGGTCGAGTCTTCCTATTTCTTCATTCAGAACTCCTCTCCTGCCTTCTTCCACTTTTGGGGACTTTTGTGACTATGTTGCCACCACATGAATGATCCAGCCGCATCTCAAGCCTTTCATCCTCCCTTAAAGTCATTTTTGCATGTGCAGCAGCTTATGCCCAGGTTCCTGGGACTGGGACCCAGACATCTGCAAAGGGAGACTTTATTCTGCGCCCCTGCAACCCTTGGTCCCTCATGAACAGACGATTCAGTGTGAAGGTGACTTGGAGAAGGAACGACTCTGACACACGCAGCTCCAGGAAGTGATTTCTAAGCACGCTGCTCGAGAAAGAGAGAGCAAAGAGAAAGAAAGTCAGGAGTCTTTATCATCCTGTGTTTTGCTTTTACTCCAATTACACAAAAACACCTGGACCCTGTCCAGGCAGAATTTTTTGCACAGCTCTTCTTTCTTGCTTCTGATCCATGGGAATCTCAAGGGGTGAAGGAAAATTCTGGAACTGTTTAAAAAAGAGGGCTTCTTAATTCCTTCAGACTTAGCTAAATATATGACACATGTGTTCGAGGTGGTGCTCAGAGTGGACTGGTGGGACGCTCACTGGTGCATGAGATCATGTTGACTTTTATGGTGGAAAGTGCTGTCTCAGGGAGCAGCCTCAGGGAGGCGGAAAGGCCCAGGTGGAGGTCTGGGGCTTGGGAAACTCGGGGCCAGCCACAGTCCTCTGCTTTCAGTCCTTTCTCCTCCTGAATCCCGGTGGTCTCACCTGTCAGACGGGCATAAAAACAGCTGCTATACTGCCTGCCTCACAGGGTTGTTATGTTCATCTCCTGTGATTCCAAAAGTGTCAGTAAAAGGAAAAATCTTTTTTTTTTTTTCCTTCAGTATTGGGGAATGAACCCAGGGCCTTCATGAGCTACAAAACTAGTCTTTTCAAAAATTATTTTTTATTTTGGGACAGGGTCTCACTAAGTTGCTAAACTGCTTGGGGAGGGCCTGAATTTACCATCTTCCTGCCTCAGCCTCCCAGGGTGCTGGGATTGCAGGTATGTACCACCGTGCGTGGCTAAATATTTATTTCTTAATTAAATACCTCCAGGCAGTGGCATAAAATCAAGAGGGCAATTTTTAGCTTTTGAAAGAAAGCTATTTAGAGCCATAATTCCTGTTCCAGATAAGGATTTTTCTTCCATAAATGGCTTCACCTAAGAATTTATTTTAGAGTCACCTTTTTTCCTACTCACTATTTTCACAGTGTAGCATCAGCTTCTGTTCTTTTATTAGGGAAAAAGGAGCCCTAGTTGGCACTTCCTAAGAAGTTCGTTTCCATTTTGGGTGGCCTATGTGTGATGCGTGTGTGCGGGTTTCTTTCTTATCTCGTCCTGACCTGTGGACTTGATTTTGGTGGTAGGAGAGAGGCTTTGCAAATAGGTCTAGATGAAACAGGAAAAGCTAGGAAAGAATAGATGAAAACTAACATTCATTATATTACTACAGTGTGCCAGGCACTGCCGTGTAAAAACGATGTGTGAGGTATTGAAAAATGCAACAAAAGTTCAAACTAAAAACGGTATTATAGTAAATGCCTTTCTTTTGGTGCTGGGGATTGAACTCAGGGCTTTTCATATAATTCAGTTTTACAATTTGAACATTCACTGTAGATTTTGATCGCCCCTTGTAAGTGCTTTGAGGGTAGGAAATCTGGCTTATGTACCTTTGTAGCTCCAGGACCTCATGTATAGGTCTTCAAATATATTTTCTTGGTGAATGATTATGTGGCAGAGAGGGGGCAGAGAAGTGGTGGAGACACACAGGTCACACAACCTCTGCTCCTCCAAACAGTAAGACTTGCTCATGGGGGTGAAAGTATAGTATACTTGTAGCAGTTTATGCTGTCACTTCCTTTCTATCTTCAACTAGCCCAGGAGTCTGGAGATCAGATGGAGGGAAGTGGAGGGCTTCTCTAGAGGCCTGTTCACCCTTCAGCAGGGGAGCAGAAGAAAGCCATCATAAAGGTCCCACGTACCTCGCCTCAAACTCTGCCATTGCCTAGACCTGCAGGGGAGTGCACAGTGATGTCAGCCTTAGAGCAGGGCCTTGACGCTGTTCAGGGATGCCTCAGACAGCCAGGAAAGGGCTGAGTTCCATTCATTCCTAGAAGCCACAGAGAACCTTGGAATAAAACCTCAAGCAGTGGGACCATGGTGTGAAATTTCAGGATGCATCCAGCCTATAGGTGAGGGATCTGGGAGCACTTCATATCTTTGTGTAAATTCCCACTAGGAATTCTGAAGGCCTTGGTGTTTCAGCAGCCAAAGGAGGGCAGTCGCAAGGAAGGTAGCAGGCAGTGGTGGCCTTGGGGTTAGGGATGCTGTCCTGCCTGTCCCTGGAATCCCAGCATTTTCTGGGAATAAGAATTGTCATATTTCTGGTTTGGTCTGATCATTACTTGGTCTTTTCTGCTCCCTATGCCCTTTTTTTGCAGGTGTTTGCAAGAGCAGGCCCTTGGACTTGGTATTCATCATCGATAGTTCTCGTAGTGTCCGGCCCCTGGAATTTACCAAAGTGAAAACCTTTGTCTCCCGGATCATTGATACTCTGGACATTGGGGCGGCTGCCACGCGGGTGGCAGTGGTGAACTATGCTAGCACAGTGAAGATTGAGTTCCAGCTCCAGACCTACTCAGATAAGCAGGCCCTGAAAAAGGCCGTAGCACGCATCACACCCTTGTCAACCGGCACTATGTCGGGACTGGCCATCCAGACAGCAATGGATGAAGCCTTCACGGTGGAGGCGGGGGCCCGGGGACCCACATCCAACATCCCAAAGGTGGCCATCATCGTGACAGATGGGAGGCCCCAGGACCAGGTGAGCGAGGTGGCAGCTCAGGCCCGGGCCTCAGGCATAGAGCTGTATGCTGTGGGCGTGGACCGGGCGGACATGGAGTCCCTGAAGACGATGGCCAGTGAGCCTCTGGATGAGCACGTGTTCTATGTGGAGACCTATGGTGTCATTGAGAAGCTTTCCTCCAGGTTCCAGGAAACCTTTTGTGGTAAGTTGGTGAGTCTTTGCTTCCAACTAGAAAGGATGTTGCATGTTGGAGATTGTGTACTCAAAAAGAGATTTGTTCACTTTTTTGGTGGAAGTTTTCTGAAAAACTTAAATACACGCAATTTTTTTTGGCATTTTTTTTTTTACCAACTTAAAATACACAGTGATGGTTGACAAGTACAGAGCCGTATTATATATAACTTAGTTTGCTTGTAAAATCTTCATGTTTGCATTTGAAATATGCAGGTCTGGAAATACTCAGGATAAATAATCCTGCTGTTTTCTGATGGGGTTAGAGAAAACCCAAGCTCAAAACATACAAGAAAACAACTCAAGACACCTCTTTCTTGTGCCTTCTCTCAACCACTACATTTTTCTCCTAGGTATTTTCTGTAGTTTTACCATCTCAAGATATAACAGAACTCTGCTTGTTTTCCTGCAGAAGACGAGAAGCAATGTCATATAGGAGGATCAGCAGGTCATATTCCAGTGTCACGGTCAATGGGCATTTAGTGAACACTTGTTTGCAGATTTGGCTTTTTCTAACTATTTTTTCTGGAATAATAGAATTAGGCACCAGAACGATTTGGCTTTGGTTCATTTGACAGACACAAGAAGAAGCAGATTTAAAAAATTCATTCTGTCACTCCTTTCCCCCTCCTTTTTTGCATGAGGGTGGAGTTTAAATATGAAAATGCTGATTTCATTTAAATTTTTGCATGTGTTACCCAGGTATATCAATGTAAATCTATTTAGTTCTGGAGTTTATTTTTTGTCACTGATCAGTATTGTGATTTGAGGACTCTTGTACCTTTTATCATTTTGGGATCATCTTCTGAAGTCCTCTGTGGAATTATCCAAATGAGTATGGATACATTTCTAGTCCAGGTGAATTTCTAAACATAGATATCTTTTTGTTATATAATTTAGTCCACATTTGTTTATTCAGTACAAATTTTTTGATCACTGGAGACACAAAGACAAACCTACCCCTTCCCGAACATCACATAACATTCTAGGGGTGGGAGTGAGACAAGCATGTAAGCCAACAATTACACATGTACATTTCCAGGAGATTAATTTAGAAACCTAGTGGTCGCCAGTTTGTTGGGAAATGGGAGATGAAGTCTTGGTGTGGGGAGCAGCGTGGCTTCATCTCAGCCACACCTAGCTGGAATCACCTTGTCTTTCCTGTCCTGGGACACTGTACCTTCACAATCCCTCCTTGGCTTTGGTGGCATCTACTTGGCATTCACTGGTTTCCCAAAAGAAAGTGGCTTTCTTTCTCCCAGGAAAACTCCCTAGGTTTGTGGGTGAGAACTGTTCCACCAGGGTGCTCATCTGTGGCAAAACTGGGTGTCAGAGCTGCCCGCGGGGTTGGGCTCAAAGGCCAGAAAGTAGCGAGTGATCTTTTTCATCTGGTATAAAAACCCTGCTGTTCTGGGGGGAAAATGTCCTCTCTATATGGAAAAAGACTGTGGGGCAGCTTGTTGTAGTCAAGGTTGGGAGGGCTGTGAAAAGACCCTTCTTGGGAAAATATTAGTCTTGTCCTCTTGCCAAGGGCAAAGGAAGGCTGGGTTACCTGCCACAAGAGTGCCAGCTTCCTCCAACAGTCCTCCTTGGTTTCTCAGAAATGACTAAATTCATTGATTCATTTTTTGTGGGTTTTTTTTCTGAGACAGAGTCTTGCTATGTAGTCTAGGCTGTGTTTGAACTCACTATACAGCCCAGGCTGGCCTCGAATTTAGAGTCATTCTACTATCTCAGCCTCCCACATGCTGGGATTACAGCTGTGCACCACCGTGCCTAGCTGATTCATCTTTCAAAACATGTCACAAGTGGGGTGGGGGGGTGGGGGGAATCCAAGGTGTAAATAGGTCTAGGAGCAGAAAGATAAAGATGCCATCTAGATGATGTAATCTCATTTATTTTGTTCTTTCTTTCTTTTTGTTTTTTAACCTGTTTGTATTTAACGTATGAGTTCATTGCCCTGGAGGATGTTAGTGCCCCGGGTTCCCGATTTCCACAGGAGGGCCTTTGGAGCTATGCTGAAGATTCAGAAGGCAATTACCTTGATTGCCCCCAGCATTTACATATTCAAATATGCCTTCCCAGCCGCAATGCAAGTGAGTTGCAGGCTTGGGTGTGTACTTTAGTGTTCCTTTTTTTTGAGAACGAATCATAGAATCCCCTGGGAACCAGGCTGCAGTGGCACTAGCTTAACACTCATGTGCTTTGTCCTCCCCCATCTGCTTGGGGAGCAAGAATCTTTTTAGGGGTGGTGGATAAATCAATAAAACATCAAGCTGCCTGTCTGATGGAAGTGTTTGGTCTCAATACCAAATTCAAAATTCTCTTTCTTTTTTGAGAAAGTCTAGCGAGATCTGTAATTTTACCGTTAGTAACATTTTTTAGTTTGAGGGGTACACTGACACCTCAGTTGTTGAACTCAGTTCATCCCAAGTTTGTGTTTAAACATCTAAAAGTTCAAGAAATGAACATTTTTTTTCTAATAAGAAATAATGGGAAACAAAAATCATTGGCTCTGAGACCCCCAAATTACACTTATAAATTCATTTTTCCAGGACTTTAACAAATTTTGCAGTGATTTATTTCTTTAACTGTATTGTGGGCACATGCCTGTAATCCCAGCACTTGGGAGGCTGAGACAGAAGGATCACTACAAGTTTGAGACCAGCATGTGCTACAAAGTGAGCTCAAGGCCAGCCTGAGCTGCATAGCGAGACCCTGTCTCAAAAAGGCCAAAAAATCAAAACAAAACAAAACAAAACAAAACACCCCTGTATTGTGGATCTGACAGTTTTCCTCTTAGCTTTACTGCTGGTATCACTAACTTTCTTTGGAGCCATAGTTGTGAAATTTTACACAAACAAAGTGCAAAATAAAAGCATAGTGATGAATGTTTTAACACACTGACACAAGCCCTACATGTTGTCTGGGTGAGGGGCTTGGATGGAAGGATTGTCACTTTGGTTCTGCATCGAGACACTGTGACTCACTCTTGGCCCATACAGGTTTCTTGAGGCTGGGTTTTCAGTGCGGCTATCAAGCAAAGTTAAGAACACGGAGTAGATTGTTTTTGAACTTTGCTGTTGGAGTAGTGGAAGGTTCAAGCTGAGAACCTTTGACAACCGAGGTATCACTGTGTTTCTAATAAGCTAGAGGCGAAAGACAAATAGCCAATTTTTATAGTGAAGACAGAATCAGAGAGGAACCTGGAGAGCAGTGTCTTTTTGCCTAGGGAGGAAGCCCTGGTGACTGTGACTTCCTTGCGCAGCTCTGGACCCTTGTGTGCTGGGCACACACCAATGCCAGCATGTGTGCATCAGCGACGGGGACGGCCGGCACCACTGTGAGTGCAGCCAGGGCTACGCCTTGAACGTCGACCGGAAGACGTGCTCAGGTGAGGCCATGGGTACCGTCTCCAGGCTGGGACTGGAACTCCAGGCATTATCTCTGGGCTGGGACTGGCCCAGTTCCTATCTAACTGCCTTTGGCTGCCCTGCGTTCATTCCCAATGTCCCTTGAAAAGGCAGGAGGGGAGAAAAGTGAGAGAACACAGAAGTCATTTGTCAGATATCATTTACTACCAGTGTTAAAGAAGAGTTAGTAGGAGAAGAGGCCAGTGAGGAAGGGATCCAAACTCTTGGTCCTTTTGAGGATTTGGCACTCATTCTGGATTTTATTAAATTAAATATAAGCATCTCTTTCCTCTCTGTGGACAAACATATGCATGCATCCTAGAAGTGGAGGGAAATTTATCAAGGTCTCACTCACCTGGTACATGAATATGCACATAGGGTCCCTTGGGGATGGGCATTAGCCCTCCTCCACCTTCTCGCCTTTCTCCTCGTCTTTCTCCTTCTTCTCTTTCTGCTTCTCCTTCTCCTCCTTTTTCTTTTTCTCCTCCTTCTTGTCCTTGTCTCCCTCCTCCTCCTCTTTCTCCTAGAAAAGTTTTTGAGAGGAAGAAAATGTAGAGATCACTTAATTTAACATATTCATTTATAGATAATAAAATTGAGACTAAAAGAAGGGAAAAATAAAACCTGCCTGTACCACCAGCTCTGTTAGTGAAAGAGCCAGGACCGGGGAGCTGATTCCAGACTCCACAAGCCATCTCCTGTGCCCTGCCCTCTGCTAGCTCTAAGTGTGTGAGACATGGTCCGTAAAGACTTAGTTGCTGCTGACTCTCCGTGTGTTCAGTTTGTCCCACTGCTTTGTTGACAGCTATTGACAAGTGTGCTCTTAACACTCACGGATGTGAACACATTTGTGTGAATGACAGAACCGGCTCTTACCACTGTGAGTGCCATGAAGGTTACACCTTGAATGAAGACAGAAAAACATGCTCAGGTAAATGCAGGAGGAGTCAGAACTATTGGATCTTTCCTCTACCTTCCTGCCCAGTGCTGGGGGGTTCTCATACACTGAGAACTTGGTCTGCTTTCTTCTCTTGCCACCCTGGGGTTTCGCATTTCTAAATCTTATTTGAAAAGTTGGAAGTGTTAATGTGTATGGATCACGTGTATAAATGTGTGGCTCATTTACTTTCTGTACTCTGCCTTAACAGTCCTTGCAAATAATACCTCAGAAGATACTTATTGCTCACAAAGGGCAACTCAGTAACTTGGTAGTGGAGAAAACTGGCAGGCACCATCGTAGCCAAGTGGTCAGACTTAAGGTCTTCATGATGACTGTAGTGACATCCTGCACAGAGGACAGGACAGCACGATTGTGGTATTCTTGCTAAAAACTCCGAATCGTAAGGAGGGGCTGGGGATTTAGCTCAGCGGCACAGCGCCTGCCTGGCAAGCGCAAGGTTGTGAGTTTGATTCCCGGTACCAGAAAAAAAGCAAAAACAACAACAAAAAAACATAAGGAAACTCAGACAAACTCAAATAGATATTTTTAGTTCAGCAAATAATTTCAAGTACTTTTTGTTGTTGTTATTCTTGTCTTTTTGAGACAGGGTCTTGCTGTGCATTTCAGGCCAGTCTTGAGCTCTCTTTGTAGCCCAGGCTGGTCTCAAACTCATAGCGATCCTCCTGCCTCAGTTTCCTGAGTGCTGGGATTACAGGTGTGTGCCACCATGCCCAGATTTCGAGTACTTTTTAAAAGTGTCAAAGTCATAACAGACAAATGCAGGCTGAGCACATACCCTAGATTGTAGGAGACTAGGATGTGAAAGCTTAATGCACTGTGGGACCCTGGATTAGAAAGGGGGCATTAGTGGAACAACTGGCAACATTTGAATAATGTGTGCAGGTTCGCAAATCATAATGTATTTGTGTTTTCAGTACCGGGAATCAAACTCAGGACCCTGTGCTTGCCAGGCAGGCATTTGTCCTATTGAGCTATATCTTGGCCCTTGCAAATCATAATGTGTAATTTTGATTACCATACCAGGGTTATGTAAGTTGCTAACATTTGGAGAAGCAGAGTGAATTAAGGAAGTCCTAGCTCTGTTTCTGTGATTTTGTTTTGTTTTCTTTTCTTTTTTGGTACCAGGAATTGAACTCATGACCTCACGCTTACTGGACAGGTGCTGTGCTGCTGAGCTATTTCCCAGGCCCTGTGGTTTTTTTTCATAAGTCTGAAATTATCTCTAAATGAAAAGTTTGAAAATCCAAAAAAGCAGCTTAAAAATACACCAATATAGGAGAAAGTACATTGGATGACAATTGGGATCTTGAATTCTGATGCTACCCTGAATCAGCTGTCTCTCTACAGCTCATTTCCCTCACTTACAAAACAGGAGAGGATTCATCTATAATTTCTTCAAACTCAAATTCTATTTTTCCAAATCTAGTGCAATTAGACACATAGCTGTTGGTGTTTCTCGGAGTTAAGATAAATATAATAAACCTAAAATAAATGTTTTAGAAAGTATTTATGAAATTCTTAGATAATAAAGCCTCAAACTGATGATTTTATAAATTGGGGAAGGCTGGAGAATAATGACTGTGTGCAGGGTTTTATTTAGTTTACTTAACCTCCATTTAGAGCAAATAATTCTGATGGCTTTTGAGTAACATCAATAAATTTTCCTCTTATTTCTACCTGCAAATAAGATTTTATTTTTAAGTATATGGGTAATAAAAGACTTTTAGTTTTCATTTCTTTTTCCTGGACTTTTGTCTGACAGCTAAAGACAAATGTACTTCTGGTACCCATGGCTGTCAGCACATCTGTGTGAATGACAGATCTGGTTCTCATCACTGTGAATGCTTTGAGGGGTACACTCTGAATGCAGATAAGAAAACATGTTCAGGTAAGCTCTCCTCAACAGACTCTTTCATACTTGGTTTCTGTGGCAGTGAAACCAACTTGGGGTAGCAAGAAAAGAGGCAACTTGAAAATTCAAGTTTCACACCTTCCCCATGCTTACAGACTGCACATACGCTACTATGCATTGGTTGCTACACATTGGCTGCTCAGTGAGTGGCTTTTGCAAAGCCCACTGGCTTTTGCAAAGATAGATCGCTTCAGAAGAAGACCACTAGGAAATGGGTAGGGAGAGGGGGATATGAGAAAAGCTAATTAAATGTAAGGTCCCTATCCAGGAAAATTTTATAGCCCTGGACACTGGGGACTTTTTAAGCAAATAGGAGACTTTTGAGGAAGTCAGTTGGGCAGTAACTATTTGATGTGATAGGCTGAACTGATCTTTTTCCAATTAAAACTTGGCCTGGAACTTTTCTGTCACATTAGTCTTATAAAGTTGGATCATTTAGTAAAAGAGACTTTGTAAGTGCCTGAATTAGACCTACACAGGTCTTCCAGTAAGTCTGCAGCAGGACATCCCCCCACGGCTTCTAGCTGATCGGTCTTCAGTGAATCTGAGCCTTATGACATTGCTCAGGAGCCCCTGGCAGGACTGCCGATCCTCATTAATTTGATTTAAACTCACGGGTAGAACAGGGTGGCATTTATAAATGTAAAAGCACTCCTAAAGGAGAGAAATTCCTAGCACTCGAGGTAGTGCTTAGTTTTGGCATACTGAATGCTTTTGAAACTTTACACTTCTTTTCTGTCCCCTGAGGAGCTGTATCATAGCATCTCATCAAGACAGATGGAGGGAAATAACATTGCTGTTTGTCCTGGGCCAATTTGGACATGAGACTGTTAGAGTGCTGTTCTCTGTTCTCCAGTTATTTGGGCAAATTGTCATTGTCCCTAAAATGTTATTTATTTGATAGATAATAAATTCTTCACTGTCCAGTCATATACATCATTATTATTCATATTAGCATTATTGCTACTTTTCTCTGTCTGTGTTTGTGAGTGTATTTGTGTATGTCTCTATCAATGTTTTTCATCCCACTTTGTAAGCTATCAAGGGCAGGAGCTTGGTCAATGCAGTCCTTTCTGTGCAGCTTCAAGCTTAGCTCCATGTACAATAAGTCCTTAATAGGTTATTTATGCTGATGACCCATGAGTATCTGAAGATGTTGACAGTCATCAGAACAGCTCAAGATAAGCTCTGGGATACTGTCAAGATTCAGTGCCTTCTAGTGCTGTCGGCAGAAGAACAAAGAGAAGGGGCTCTCAGAGAGCTACAGGACAAAAACAGGACAGAGATGTCTGTGGTCACAGGGATGTAATGGAGAAGGGAAATAGCTCTCTCCTGAAACAGGGGGCTTGTAGCATTTAGGATTCAGTCTCAATGCTAGTTGGGACCCAGGGAGGCTTTTCTCTCCCAGAGGTTTGTGTTTTGTACTCCATTTCATTAACATATGGATATCTTCTTTCCTGCTCCATGCCTGACCAGTCCATAACAAGTGTGCTCTGGGCACTCACGGCTGCCAGCACGTTTGTGTGAGCGATGGGGAGGTGTCCTACCACTGTGACTGTTTCCCTGGCTACAACCTGAATGAAGACAAGAAGACATGTACAGGTGAAGACTGGCCCTTTAAACCTCTTTCTCACAGTAGGAGAAATCTTCTCTCATGTACCGTGGTGCTCCTTCTCTGGCCAGGGCCTTCGGCAGTCTCCAGTAGACTCCAGAATAAAGTAGTTACCCTCCTCCACTAGTCTGCTGTCCTTGATCTGATCTTACCTCTCCCTTTTTTCTTTCTAATTCATTTCTCTATCTAGTCTGGGGTTTTACTGTGGTAAAATATATATGACATTACATATACAATTCTGACCATTTTTCGTGTAGAGTTTAGTGACTTTTAGTACATTTTCATTGTTGTGGAATGTCGCCACTGTCTATCTCCACCACTGTCTACCTCCAGTTTCATGACTCCAAAGAGAAACCTGTACTCAGTTAGCAGTAACTGTCTGTTTTCCATGCCCCCAGCCCTTAGTGACTACTGTTCTACTCCAGCTTGTCTCTTAAAGCTGCTTTTTGACTACATTTGCAACCAGCTTCCCTCCTATCCACAGTGGACATTTGATATTCCAGAAACATGCTCCTAACCTGCTGTTTCCATCCAAGTTGCTGTGATCAACTTCCCTTATCACCTTTGCAGGTGAAAACAAACATCCAGTTCAATCACAGCAATGCTGGCAAGGAGAAGGTGCTCAGATGGGGGCTGGAAGGACCAACTTCAGGCTGGGAGGGTCCTTGAGGAAGCGCCATCTGAGAACTAGGGAGGAGCAGTGCTTAGGTTTTCCTGGTGGGTGCTGCAGAAAGAAGAAAGGAGAGCAATCCAGAGTCCTGAGTGGCAGCTCGGAAGGGAGCAGAAATAGAGGGTGACCAATGTGAGAAGCATGGTGGCTGGGGAAGTCAGCTTGGCACAACATGGCTTGGAGAGTTAGGCAGGAGCCCAATCATGCTGTCCCTCTGAGCCACAGGGAGACAGTTCATGTTTTATTGTAACAACGAGAATCCATTGAAGGGCTTAAAGCAGTGGAGAGACCTGAGTCTTCAGAAGTCACTCTAGCTGCTCTCCAAGTGCTGGAGAGGTTGAAGACTAGTACAGTGGGCAGGCTTGGAAGAGGACAGTAGCAGAAGTGATAGAAGTAGACTTGTCTGGACCTTGAATGTCTGGCACTGCCATGGCTGGAAAGCTATGAGAAAGGGTGAAAACCTAGCTTATGGGGGTACTCTGGCCCATTTTGTAACCATTTGGACTAGTATTTTCCACTATAGAATATCCTTGAGTGACCCTCTTTTTAGTAATCTCATGAAGTTCTCCTGACATTCTGTGGCTTGACCAAATCTGTTGTCAGCCCGAGACTTTTGCCTACTGAGGGGTAGATTGAACTCACTTCAACCTTGCTGAAAACTAACTGACCTTAAGCATAAGAGTTTGCATTTCTCCATGGAGGCCTCTGGAGTGTCCATATATATATACATATATATATTTTTTAAATTTAAATTTTTTCATTTTTTTTGTCATCTGTGTATATTTGATCCTTTTCTCTCATACCATGAGCCTGGGATCTGGGGAGAAAGTGCAGATTGCCTACTCCTTTTTCTTTGTAAAGGTCTGTTCTTCACTTTCTCTGTGTGCTCCAATTTTCCCTGTAGATCCTTCCTGGGCCCTGGGGATCCACCTCCATTCTTCTTTTCTTCCCCTGGTTGTTATTTTCTAGTGTCTGGATTCTGAATTTTGGAGGGACTGATTTGTTGCTGCTTACTGCTCCACCATCTTCCCAGAGGTCTTCTCAATAGGGTTTAGACAGGTAGAGGACATTTGAGTAAGTGAATTTGTGGCCCCCTAGCCCTATACTGTATCATTGTAGAATGTGAGAGAACGTGTTGGAGCAAGGGAACAACCCTGTCCTCAGTGGTTCTACTCAGTTGGAAGATTAGACATCAGTCTGCAGACTTAGCATGTTGCCCTTATTTCTAAAACTTAAAGGGTTGGGCTGGAGATTTAGTTCAGTGGCACAGTGCCTGCCTGGCAAGCTCAAGGTCTTGAGTTCAATTCCCAGTACTGGAAACATCCCTCGCACCAAAAAATAAGTAAATAAATAAATAAAAATAAAAATAAAACTTGAAGGGTTATAATAACATAGCTGCTTCATTGAATTACCAGAAGAAGTAGGAGTTATCTTTATCACTCTCTTAAATTTACTTAAATGTTAGTACAAACCTGAATTTTTAGTTTAAAGATACATTAAATACTGGACCTCTCATCAAACCATTTAACAGAATATCAGTCCTATATAGCAAGCAGGAGTTACTTAGTTTTACTTTTTGGAATCTTTTGAACATGCAAAGAAAGAGCAATTCTTATTTTTATTTCTTAATGAGGATACTGTACCACAGGGACACTGTCTTAATTTTTAAAATTAATTTTATTGGTACTATTTAGATATACATAATGATCACATTTACCATAGAAAATTTGTACCTGTATATGATATATTTTGATTCCTCTTTTTTCCCATTCCTTCCTCTCCTTTCAACCCCCTCTTCCCCTCCTTACTTGCAAAGCTTTGTTTCCATTTTTTTCTTTTTTTTGTCTTCTGGAGACAAGGTCTCGCTGTACAGTTCAGGCTGGCCTTGAGCTCACTTTGTAGCCCAGGCTGGTCTCGAACTCACAACGATCCTCCTGCCTCAGCCTCCCAAGTGCTGACATTATAGGTGTGCGCCACCATGCCCAGCTTTTGTTTCCATTTTTATCCTTCTTTTCTCATTTTTTCTTTTCTCTTTTTTCCTTTTTTCTTTCCCCTCTCTAGTTCCCCTTTCTTTTTGAACAATTTCTTCCTATTTCACAATTTGTATTATACATTTTGATTCTTATTTACATTTTCAGTTTCTCATGCCAGTGAGACAATGCAATATTTACATGTGTATGTCTGATTTATTTTACTTAAAAATATGGTCTCAAGGTTCATCCATTTAGGTATATATTTCTCAAGAATATTCTTCTTTATGGCTGAAGAATTGTATAACAATAAACTCTACATCTTTTTTATCCATTCATCAGTTGGTGGGAATTTGGGTTGCTTTCAAGATTTAGCTATTACAGATTGTACTGCTTTAAATATGGATGTACATACATTGTTGTGGTATGATGCTTTTAATTGTTTTGGGAAGATATCAAGAAGGGGAATTGCTGGGTCAAATGGGACCACAGTCCTGGTTTTTTGAGGGATCTCCACACTGATTTCCACAGTGTTTGCACCAGTCCGTACTCCTACCAACATTGGAGAAGGGACATAGTCTTATGCTTATATCCTTGGTGTCTACCTACACCAACAATCTTTTTAAAAATTTGTTTTGTTGATAATGTTTGATAATCACAAAAGGATCGAGTATTATAATGAACCTCCATATACCCATTACTTAGCTTTGACAAATGTTTTCCCAGTGTTTCCGAATACAATTGTTTCTGTGACATTATCATCCCAAAATATTTTCTCCTTTTTCTGTTTGCTTTTACCCCCTGGAAAATGCACAGAAGTAAACCTTAGAAATAGCAGAATTGAATTGTAGATTTCCTGGGAAATGCAAATTGAAATGACTTAGGGATTCCATTTCAACCCAGTTGTAATTGCTATCATCAAGAATACTTGCATTTTTACATCTGGTAATCTGAGCAACTTTGTTGACGATAACAATATATAATATAACAACCACTGTTAATTCCTATCATTTTGTTTTGAAACCCTGTGTCATTTTTATCGTTTTTGCTTTGTTTTGTTTTTGTCTATGTTGCTGTTATTTTACTATTTTTTATTATAAACATAAAAAATACAAAAAAACAGTAAATGCCGATGAAGATGTGGGGGAAAAAAAAGCCGTCTGCACTGCTAGCCAGAAAGTAAAGTTGTGTAGCTACTACAGAAATAAGTGTGACATTTCCTCACTGAATTAAAAATATAAAGCTACCATTTGATGCAGCTATATAACTCCTTGGCATATCCCTGAGGAAGTTAAAGCCAGCACATCACAGAGACACCCACATACTGTGTTCATTGTGGCACAATATACAAGGTACACGTGACATATACAGTGTATGTTTAAATTAAAAACAATTGCCTTAAATCTCCCCCAAAATACTCCCCCTCATCCCACGCCGTACTGTCAAGTAGCAGCAATGGAAAGGCAGGAGCAAGCCATGCATGAAGAAGGACTTTAGAACTGCTTCCAAAAGGAACAAGGACAATGGGTATTTGAAGCAAGAGAGAGTCATCTGTGGGGCATTAATGGCAATGTGTCTATGCTGTCATATATTATTAAAAATTAAAATATCATTGTAGTTTTTGATTCTACCACACACAACAGCCAAGATGCCCATAAACAGATGAATGGGTAAAGAAAATGCGGTATATATACACAATGGGGTATTGTTCAGTCATTTGCAGAGAAATGGATGAGTGTGGAGATCATCATGTTGAGTAAAATCAGCCAGACTCAGAATTGTAGGATTCTTGACTTCTTACCATTCCCAGGAGTGCTAATGTTTTGTGTACTGTCATGGTCTGCAGCTGTTGAAGAGGTCCGGAGACTCCTTTCCACTGAAGACGCTTGTGGGTGTGAGGCCACCCTGGCCTTCCAGGAGAAGGTCAGTTCCTATCTCCAGAGACTGAACACCAAACATATCCTTTCTGGAAGGTTTTCTGCTTCTCCTTGAAGCCAACTTAGGTACCAAGCTGAACCAAACATTTTAGGATATTCTCCGCGCATGTGTTTTATTTGTTGCTCTACGATGAGAATACACAACTTTTAAAAAAATCTTCTTCCAATTCTTTTAAAAGGTAATTTAATAGACATTTAATACTCTCCTGTTAAATCTACTCAGCAGTTTCTTTTTCTGGTACTTTTCTGCGTCAGTATAGTCTCCTAATTGGTTCTCACCTAACAGTTGGAATCATCATGCTATGATTCCTTAAAGTGCTGCTCTTAGTTCAGAACCCATATTCACACAGAATAAGACAGCTGATAGATGGGGTGTGACATCTCAGATTACACATGGGTCTACACTGACAGGCCAAGCAGTCAGAAAAGATTTCAAAATATAATGTGAACTTCAAAACCAGTTTTTTAGTAAAATGAAGAAAAGAATGCAGCTCAAGTGAACAATTCTATGCTCATATACCTTAGGTGAGTGGCATTCAGACTTTGGTAGGTGTAACCCAGGAGTATGCAGATGTTCTTTTTTTAATTTCCCAATTCTTTACGCATTTAAGATGCCACTTGGAGTTAGGCTTCACTTTTCCCATCTCCCATTTTGGGATTGACATTCTTCTAACTACATAGGAAAGGCGTAACTCTCTCTGAACCCACTGAATACATTTTCTGGAAAAGTCAGAGCCAAACAAAGGGGCAGTTCAATATTTCCTTTAATCACAACTTCATAAACATTTCTTCCCTCACCCACCCCACTAACAGATGGCTTTCACCTTAAATTTTATACAAGCAAAAATATTTGCTACAGTCATCTAATACTATCATGATTTCTAGGAAAAAAAGTCTGAATTTTAAATTACATATTTGGTGAGCAATAGCTCTGTTGTTTTTTTAAAATTTACAATAGGAAACGATTCTCCTACCTTGTGTTGAAAGCTCTAAAGGTGTATTTATGTTTCTAATGCATGTAAATGGTGTTGACCTTAACAATTAGCCACTAGATGACATTTTGGAGAAGTTGCAAGTACATGAATATAGACAAGTACATAGTTAAGTTGCTTAAAATTTTCACCTGGAAATGTGGAGAGCTCAGTGTAACGTTCATTCTTTTGCACGCTTGTATCTCCAATGTTTCTGCTAATAATTTGCCATTGTAAATGCTTGAATATTACTGGATAAACAGTATGAGGATTTTCTGGAGAACCAGTATTATTTTTCCAAGGAAATAAAGGTGCAGATCCTTAAAAGCAAACTTTAGTGTCTTTAAGCTATAACTGTGAAATGGTTTGTAGGAAGTAGAATGTAAAGTTTAATGTTTGTTGCTGGGCATGGTGGCACATGCCTGTAATCCCAGAACTTAGGAGGCTGAGGCAGGATGATTGCTAAGTTCTAGTGAGCTTGAATATGTAGTCAGTTCAAGGCCAACCTGAACTACAAAGCAAGACTGTCTCAAAAAACCAAAGCAAAAATAAATGTTTCTTTCATTATCTACTAATTGAGCCATTTAACTTTAAATACTTATATTCATAAGATAATGATATTCACATTGGAAATTTTGGATCTACTTTCTTGATAGTATTTATAAGCCAGTTTTATTACTGACTGAAAATTATACAAAGTATTTACATTTAAAAAGTTCATATAATTAAATGGAGAGGAAAATAGAACTGCAACACTTCATTTTTTACTTATCTTCACTGGTTATTGAAGCTGTGATCAAAAGATTGTGATACACATATCTAACAACAGTTATCACAGATTCAGAGAACATCATATGCCATCTTAAACTCATTCTGGACTTAGAAACCCACAGATGCACTACTTGTGAATTTAAAGTGTTAAACTTCTACCAAGGACAAAAAAGCCTAAGTTTACTTTATCTTTTGATTTAGGATCTAGTCAGTAAAATTACATATTTATAAAATTGGTAGAACAAGAAATAAAATTGAGTATTGTCTTTCTTAATGATAGTAATAGGCCTAATTTTTCATATATTTTGATACATATATTTTTTCTTAGTTCTACAGCTTATAAACTTTTGGAACAGAACAGTCCTTTAAATTGTGTACTACTCAGTTCTTTTTTGGTATTGTCCCAATATAATAAAAAGTTATCTTTACATGTCAGTGTCATGACTGGTTTTTTGGTGATTCATGTCAATTTTGTGTATTAATGTATTTCCTTGTTTTGAACTGAATGATTATTTTGAATGTAAAGAATTTTCTCGTTAAAGGAAAAAGGTTGATACGCTTCCCATAATATACTCTCACTCTTGAGGTTAAACATGTAGTACAGGTTAGACAGAGGGTTTTAATCAAGTATGTTGTGGGAAAGAGAGTAATATAGAATTATCTAAATTTAGATAAAATAATTATGAGCTTAACACTGATATAAACTTGTGAAGAGCAAATATAACCTATAAACATAAAATATCAAGTTTAAAGAACTAAAAAATAAACTGGGCATGGTTGTGGGTGCCTATTAATTTCAGCACCTGGGAAGCTGAGGCAAGATTGCTGAATTCAAGGCCAGTCTGTATAAGAAAAAAGGAAAAAAGAAAGGTGAAAAATCAATACACAAAGACATTATATATGAAACATTTATTACTTTTCAAAAATTTTGAAAGGAAATGACGTATAGCTACAGTAATATTTTCAAAATTTGAAAACAGAATCAGTAATATATATTAATATGTCACGGAGAATTACTAGTTCAGAGAAACAAACAAGAGCTTACAGACATGGAGGGAAAGGTAAAGAGGGATGAGTGTGACCATGAGCTTTAATCATGTCTCAGCATTAATACTGATGCATTTTATGAGTAGCTTATGAGCAGGTGCCAGTGTATCTTGGGCATTTGCTATTTAATACTGAAAGAGTTGAAAATATATGAACTGAATGGAATACACATTAAGTTTGCAAAGAACACTGGGAGACCTGAATTGTGCCAGTTTGGGTACAACTGGCCTTTGGGAAGGCAGGAATGTCCTAGGGTCTGTAAGACGGCTTGGGAAGCAAAGCCAGATGGAAGGCTGGATCGCAGGATTCAGGGTAGGAGCGCCCTAGTAAGAACATTTTAGGGTGGAGAGAGGATCTGAATTTAGATCTTTGAATCCTAGAAAGTGCTGGGTGAGATGACCTAGGTCAAAAGATTTGGCTGAAATGGTGGAAGACTCGAAGTGGGGAAAGGAACCCTGCTGCATAAAGTACACACTAGATTACATAAGTAACAACGGGAGCTATCGGTCATACCAAAAAGGGGAAAGCAGAAACAAAAAAATGGATGAGACCAAATAATTAGTGATGATTTGCATAATACTTGATTAGTCATTTGCAAAATACTTGATTAATACTCTACTTGTATTTCTGCCTTATGTCTTCGATTTTGGGGTGCGGTAACTCTCAGGGACTCTAAAAGGATAAAGAAAAAAAAAAAAAAAACCCGCTAAGGTAGAAAGAGAAGGGAAAATACAAAAGTCGCCTCCAGGGGACAAACTTGGACAGCGGTCCACCGCGCTCCAACGGCAACCGCGGCTCAGGCAGCCGAAGTTCACACACATCCCTTTCCGAAGGGCTCTCGAGGCTGCAGTGCCAGCTTGAACTGTTTTAAAAATTCCAAACAATAAAAGCCCACACTCCCCGCGTGCCTAGGCGGGCTCTGCAGCCGCAGAGCAGGCGGCCCGCGGCAAGCACGCACGCCCGCGGCCGACGGCGCCCGCTTCCCACATGCAGCCACGACTCCTCTTTCCCAGAGTGCTGAGGCAGTGCGGCTTCCAAGCCCACGGCACTGTGGCCGCCTTGGGCCCGGAGTCTTCCTCCCGGTACCACAGCCGGGCGCGCCGAACCGCACATCATCAGGTGGGAGCCCCGCACTAGCGCAGTCAGAGGTCCCAGTCAGGGGCGCGCCCGCATCACCGCGCAGGCGCCCGGCCGGCCCGGGGCCACACCGGAAGTGCTCCTCGGCGCCCCGGATGCGCCCGCGCGGCGGTTGCCGGGGCGACGCGAGCTTCCCTAGGCTGCCTGGGCTCGTGGGAGGCACAGTCGCCTGTTGCCGGCCTTGACCCCCGCAGTGGTCTTTTCGGGGTTCTTACTATGTTCTTCTACCTGAGCAAAAAAGTGAGTGTTCCGGGGGCGTTCTGCTCCTCCCTCGCGTACCTTGGGCGATTCCCGCATCCTTCCTGGGAAACCCAGAGGCTGCACCGCGGCCTCGCCACCCTACTGCTTGCCTCCCCACCGGGTCCGACCTGAGACCTCTTCCTGCAGGTCTCTAGGCCTCAGAGAACCTTGGCTGAGCCTGTAGCCTTCCCGCACGACCCTCCCTTCCTGCCCCATGCCAGGTCCTTCTGGTGACCAGCAGGACACATCAGCAGGTGCTGTCGCATCTTTCCTCCTCCAGTTGTTGCTGATCCATATGCCTTTGGATCCTCACAGGCGGCTCGGCAGGAGGACTGGAAAAGGGAAAGGATAGCCCGAGTGTTGCGCGGATAGAGGGAATGCGGACTGCTGGTGTGGATTTGTCCCTTCACCCCCAAATCCATCAGGGGACTCCTCCCTGCTTTACCGTTTCTCAAATGGTAGCGCCCTAGGCATTTGGGGGACCATGGTCATTTTCACAGCAGCTCATTTTTGTGCAGTTTTTCTTGTTGGAAGATTTTCTTCCCTCTTTCTCTCCTGTCCATTAACTTCGCAGCTCTTCGTGAAATGTTGCCAGCATAGCTGTGCTTCCTCTTACAGATTGCCATTCCCAATAGTGTGAAGCTGAAATGTATATCCTGGAACAAGGACCAAGGCTTCATAGCCTGCGGTGGTGAAGATGGATTACTGAAAGTTTTGAAGTTAGAGACACAGACAGGTAAAGGAATGTAAGCCCAAATGTTTGAAGTTGGTTATTCATCAGATTTGCTCATGGTATTTGTCAGTGTGCAATTCTGATTCTTTTAAAAAGAAAAGACCCCAAACATACCTTTTGTGGTTTTCCCAGAGGTGGGTTTGTGTGTGTGTGTGTGTGTGTGTCTGTGTGTGTGTGTGTGTGTGTGTTTCTGGGAATCAAACCCAGAGCCTTGCATGTTCGAGGCAAGCAGACAAGCACTCTACCACTGAGCTACATAGGCAGACTGTTCTAGAATATTTTTACAATAAAATTCACAGAATGTCCATGTAGACATCATAGCTTTTGCTGAAGGCACTGTTGGAAAATGAAAAAAAAAAAAAAAAAAAAAAGAAACTAAGTCACTGTGTTTGTATGTCCAATTATTGTTCTGTATTATTAGGAGTCCAATAAAAGTCATGCAAATCAAGATTTCAGTAATCACAAAATCTCCCATTTGGCATATTACTTACAGAATTGTATCGTCGTTTCTCCTTGTCAGGTGTGTTAATGACTGTACAATTAGTGCCTCCAAATTGAAAAAGAAATATATTTTATGTTTTTAAAATAGGTCTCTTGTGTTTACAGCTGAATTTTTCCCCCCTAGTTCTATTAAATCACAGTGAACAGTTTATGGAAGTCTAGATAAAGAGATTGTAGTTGGTATCAGCTCTGTCCTCAGACTACTGAATGCCTATCACCCAAGTTGCTGAATATCTGGGTTTTAGTTCACTGTTTCATAAAACAAAAGAGTTCAGTTAGATTACATTTTGGGTTCCTTATTGTGTTGCCTCCCAAATTTTATCAGGTGTAAGAATCACTAAAGAAGTTGTTAAAATGGATTTCTAAGATGTATCCAGAGTATGTCTGGGATGAGACCGGAGAATTTTCATCTCTCCTGATGGTGGTGTTGCTGATTTTCAAACCCCATTTTGGGCAGAGCTGCCTTAAAACTTTGAATCATAAGTACTTAGTGAATATTTTCTGTGTGCTGGATGGTTAACCTATATTGTTTCATGTGATTTTGTAATGGTCTTCTGAGGTGGATAGTCCAGGTGAGGGAATTGAGGTGCATATCAGTTAGTAACTTACTTACTAAAGGTCACACAGCCAGTAAATCACAGACCTGGGGTTTGAAACTAAGTTTGTCTCACTTTCAAATCCTTATTTTTAACCACTACACAAAGGGTTCATGGGCAGCCTAAGCAAAGAGAGTGATTGTTTAGATGTGCTGCATTACTTATGTGGAATATTAAAGAGCAGGCTTGAAGTTGCATTTTGTGTCAGAGTTTGGCTTCTGATGTTTTGTTGTTTAACCCTATGCGTCAGTTTTCTTAGCTATGTTAAATTTTTCTGTTACATTTCTCAATTATGTATATGAATATATTTTGCTTAAATTATGTAACAGCTTTCAATTATATTAAGAAGTGCACTTGATTTAACATTGAAGTTATTTTTGGGTGGGGCAGAGGCCCCTGTTACTCAGGCTAGCCTCAAACTGCTGGGCTCCAGTGAGCCTTCTGCTGAAACATCCTGAGCAGTGGGACTACAGGTGCACGCGACTACACCTGGCAGGCTTTTTTGCTTTTTTTTTTTTTTTTAAACCTACCGCTTTTTTGGCACTGAACTTTTGATGAACTTTAGTCAGAATGCTGAAATTAGAGCAGGTTCTTGGAAGACTTAGAAAGTAAATTATTTGTTTTGGAATCTGACAAGTATTTCATTCTTACTATGTGCAAGACTGAACTCTAGGTCTCCAGATCTCTCCTTTCTGTTCTCTCCATTTTACAAATTATTATAACTTCACTCATTTCAGAATCTGTGAATATTTTTTGAGTAGTATTAGCAGAATCTCATTCTCTGTCAATGTGTTATACCTTAATCTTTTTATATGCCTCTTTGGACTTTTGAGGTACTTGGATTGTTCGAACTACTGATTTCATTTTGAAATTTCTTTATGGATTTCAAATGCTTTATTTTTTGGCAGCTTCTTTCATCAGGCTTTTTAAATCCAAGGGTTATGGGTAGGTGTTATTAGACGTTTTATGTTGATATTACCAGATTTTGTTCCCATGCCAGTTTGGTTTTGTTGCCTTACTGCCTGTGTGAGGTTTAGTAACGTAACTAGATAAAATCTTGGGATATTGCTGGAAGTACTCAACCTAATTTAAAACATTTGAATTTTTTTATATATGAGAACTTCTAGGTGGGTGCTATGAATATTCTCTGCACTATTAAGTTGTGCAAGAGACATGTTCAGAAGTGGGTGACATTTGATCAGTATTTCAAGGTGAATTTCAAAGCCAGTTACTCTTACCTGTGGGCACATATTTTTTCAAGCGTATCCTATCTTATGGAAAGGAAAATCCTCTGCTGTGCAGAACAGTGATTTCGGAGCACATAAACAAGTGGAGAGATGGGGCCACTTCATCACTGCTTCAGACATTGTAGGTCCTGTAAACTTTTAAAAAGACAACAGTGCCTATCACTCTGGTCTCATCTGAGGCAATTTCCTCCCTTGTTTTCAGCTACAGAGACTTTCTCTTGATTCCTCAAAGACCTGAGGCCTTAGCATTTGCTGTTGGCCAGCTTGGAATGCACCCCCTTTCCCTACATTGCCTTGCCATCTCATCTCAGCTGGAATATCATTTGTTTAGAAAGCCTTCCTTGGCTCCCTTCAGTCTGAATTAAGCCCTCTCTTTTCTGTGTCTTGTTATGCCTGTACTTCTCAGCTTACGATGACACTTGCATGTGACTTTGGTCTCCCCTATAGACTTTAAGCTCTCTGAGGAAAGAGAGGTAATAACCTCTCTCAATAATGTTGTTCATTCTGTATATGGAACCTTCCACAGTGCCCAGCACAGTGAACATTTGGTAGATAAAGCTGAATGAATAGATGCACGGTGTGAGATTCTGTGAACCCTAGTAAACCTGTTACTATCATCTTTGCTCTTTGGGCTGTCTTAAGCTTTAGTCTTTTCAGTCTGTATGCCACAGGCATTTCTGATGGGATCTTTCGGGAAGGAAGAAATATGCAGCAATGATGATTGTTCATATATTTAATATACCAAGTATACCAAGTGTTCATTTATACATTTTGCTTTATTTTACTACAGTAATATCTTTGCAGGGGAGATGTATTACTGTTCACGTTTGTTCCACAAGAAAGAAATCAGAGTGAGATATACTTTTCAAAACCATTCTAGTATCTACCAGGTATACAAAAAAAATACATAAAAATCTTATATCACTTTTATATATTTATCACAGTGCCTTGTTTTGTTCTAGATGATGCAAAATTGAGGGGTCTTGCAGCACCCAGTAACCTTTCCATGAATCAGACTCTTGAAGGTCATAGTGGTGAGTGATGCAACTTTTTGAATCATTTCTGAAAAGTGTTTATGTATTTAGAAGCTATTTAATGCAGAAATACCAACACTTAAAGTAGCTGTAATGTTTAATCATTTTATTGAACCATAACTAATATAACCTAGAGCAGTGGTGGTGAATCTCTGGCATGTGTGTCACAGCTGGCTGTTGTTACCGTTGAAAGCTCCAAAAGGTTCACTATCACTGGCCTAGAGTCATTCAACAACTTTTCCAGGACTCAACGATGGCTTCAATAAATGTGAAAAATGTAACTATTACTTTATATATTAAATAATCTTTAAACAAATTCTGTCCTGTGATTGCAGAGTAAAAGAGACTGAAGAAATATAACAATTGAGTACACTACTGTGGTCATAGATGAGACCCTGGATGAAAGAAACAAGTACAGTATCTATAAAGGATACTACTTGGACAGCTGATAAAATTTGAGAGTGGACTCTGTGTTAGATGATAATATTTTATAAATGTTTAATTTCTTAGTTTATTATACAGTTATAAAAGAGAATGCCCTTAGGAATATACACTAAAGTATTTAGAAATAATTGTTGTTAAGAGAAAGCTGGGCCTGGTGGTACATACCTATAATCCTGGAACTCTGGGTGGCTGAGACAGAAGGATCACAAGTTCTTGCCTTGGTCAGGTAATTTACTGACTTAGTGAGCACTCTGTCTCAAAAAATAAAATGCTGGGCATGGTGGCAGATGCCTGTAATCCCAGCACTCAGGAGGATCGCTGCAAGTTCGAAACCAGCTTGGGCTACAAAGTAAGCTCAAGGCCAGCCTGAATTGCATAACGAGATCCTACCTCAAAAAAGACCAAAAAAAAAAAAAAATGCTGGGGATATAATTCAGTGTGAAGGCTCTGGGTTCATTCCCCAGTGCAAGGGTTGGGGGGGCGGTATATTATTTATGTAATCCAGAGGTTTAAGATATATTTAGGAGTGTCTCAGTAATAGGGTGGAAATCTATGGGGCAAAGGGAGGTTAGATTATAGGACAAAACCAACACGAGCAAACAGAAAACCAAAAGAACAACTTGGTGTCTTTTGGACATCATCACCCTGGAGAATTAGGTTAGTTCAGTTCAATAAATCATGCTTATGTTTATTTCTATCATCAGATCTATGGTAGCTCTTACAGCTGCTTGTAAGAGGTGCCTTTGTAAGTATGAAATAGGGATAGGTATGAAAGAATCCAAGGCATTGTGATCTCTGTACATATTTATCCTATAAATATTTTTGGTATTCATATTTTTAGATTTTAATATGAAAAATGGATACACAGGAACTGTATTGATGCTCCAAGTGTTTATTTATATAAAGATGCAAATTTGAAATTAATTGTTGCCCTTTTTAAGTTTCTAAATTGTTTTCTAATATTCTAGGTTCTGTTCAAGTGGTAACATGGAATGAGCAGTATCAGAAGTTGACTACCAGTGACCAAAATGGGCTTATCATTGTGTGGATGTTATACAAAGGTATATTAGGAGAGCTGCATTAATCTTTCACACACCGGAGTCTGTTTAGATTACAGTATTTGGATGGGGAAATAACATCTGAGATTGACCCCCTGTAGCCAGCAAGAAGAGTGCTTCTTGATTGCATAGTTGTGGTATTTCTGGATTTATTGCTGCCTACTTTTCTGTTCACTTTATTTCAGTTTGGTCAGTGACCCTGTGTTGCAAAAGTGAATCTAGCTGCACGTAATCCTAGCTCTTGGGAGACTGAAGTGGGATTGGGAGCATGCGGGTAGCCTGGGCTACATTGTGAGAGCCTATCTCAACAAACGAAGACTGGGGAAGAAAGTGAATTTGCTGACTGTTGACTATCTCCAGAGTGAACTTAGATGGTAGAATCAGTAATTTTATTCAAGATGCCTCCCTCTTCCCCAGATTTCCTATAACAAGTAGTTCTTGTGCGACTGATTGTGGAGTTGGCTTACTAAATAGCAGCATTTATGAAGAAGTCAGAGGCAAAAACTCATTTCCTGTATATGGCCAGGTAGCTTCCTTTTCTCATGGGTACAGGTTATATCATAGTCTGACTATTGGCTCACCATTTGTGCCTCTTTTCTATGAGGGAGCAGGAGGGCGATGTATCACTGTTACTAGAAAAACCACTCATAATATGTATTCTCCTGAGGCCTGTAACTGTCATCTTCCAAAGGGAAGGGTACCTTATTTTGTGTGTGCTATTTTACAAAGGTCTAGTCTAGACCATTCACAAATAGTTAGTTAAAAATATATAGTACTTGAATTTATTTTTGAAATTGTGTGCGTGTTTAGGGTGGAATATGGTAGAATGCAAAAGTACAGTGGGTTGGAATAAAATTCATGTTTCCAAGGTTACCTCCTGTGGGTCTCAATCCTGATTCTCAAGATGCTCTTTTCTGGCTGTTTATTCTACATCATTGATTATTTGCTTGGCTGCAAGCCAGAGTTCTTCATATAAGGATGTACTAAAGCCTTAGAAAAAACACACACACAGGAATAAAGACAGTATAGCTTTTTTTTTTTCTTGCTGCTAATTTGGTCATACTATGAGACAAGTCATATCTCATTCTAATGCTGTAGAGTTAAAATGTTTTTGTCATTCAGCATTAGTGATAGTATATCACTAGTGTAATATGAGCTGTTTAAGAATTTTTCAAGCAGGCTTAGAATTCTGGCTAATATGTTAGCATGCTTATAATGAATCACTGGAAAGTTTTTGCATAGATACAAAGTTTTTATTCTGATGTTTTTCCCTCAGTTATTATCTGACGTGTGTTCAAGTAGGGAAAGGTAGGCTTTCAGGTCAGTTTTTTTGTTTTTTGTTTTTTTGAGACAGGGTTTCTGTGTGTAGTTCAGGCTGGCCTTGCGTTCACTGTGTAGCACAGGCTGGCCTTGAACTTGTAGTGGTCCTCTTGCCTCAGCCTCCCAAGTGCTGGGATTACAGTTGTGCATTACCACTCCTGGCCTAGGAAAGTCAGTTTTTATGGCTCTGTAAAAGCAAATGAAATTTTTAGCTTTTAGTTGACAGGATAAAAGAAAGAGAGAAAGAAAGAATAAAAAAGAAGGGTGTTGTGTTTCTGTGATAATCTTTGAAGCAATTATTGGTCGAGGCCTAAGTTAACTTTTCATTTTGTTTTTATTAGATGTGAAGCTTTTATAGTTAAATGTCTCAGGTTGGAGAAAATTTTGCAGTTATTTATCCTACATATTGTCAACTATTAAGTACCATTTAATAGATACGAAAATTTTTGTTTTGGTCTTTTTGAGACAGGGTTTCACTATGCAGTTGAGGCTGGCCTTGAACTCACTTCGTAGTCCAGGATGGCCTTGAACTCACAGTGATCTTCCTGCTTCAACCTCCCGAGTGCTGGGGCTATAGACATGTGCCACTATGTCCAGGTCGATAGGAAAATTTTGACTAATTTTCTTACTCCTGAAAATAGGCTCTTGGTATGAGGAGATGATCAACAGTCGAAACAAATCAGTGGTTCGAAGTATGAGCTGGAACGCTGACGGCCAGAAGATCTGCATTGTGTACGAGGACGGGGCTGTGATAGTTGGTTCTGTGGATGGTAATGCGTTCATTGAAGGACTAAGATAAATATTTAGCTGATTTTTATCTTTATAAATTTAATTATCATATGTTAACATTCCAGTTGAAAAAGACTTAAAAAGAAAAAAACAGTCGACATATAATCTGATGACATCTGAGAACCACCTCTTAGTTCTATCCATTTATTTTTAAATATATTTGAGAAGGGGCTGGGGATTTAGCTCAGCGGCAAAGCGCCTGCCTGGCAAGCTCAAGGTCGTGAGTTTGGTTCCCGGTACCAGAGAAAAACCAAAAAAAAACAAAAAACAAAAAACAAAAATAAATATATTTGAGAAAAAAATTATCTTTTGATTTCCTATAGCAGCACTTAGCATTATGTTAAATATTCATTATATAGTTTATCTTTATATTGGTTAGATTGTATAAATATATAGATTTTAGTTTAAAAAGTATATAAAATTATAGCAATGTGTGGTAGAACAGCATATGTCCTTGTTAGCTGTATTTATTTTATAGCCATAAATCCTGTCTTTAAAATTCTAGTACATAGATAAAACCAAGTTTTATTGCAAATCTGTACCTTTGTTTTAATGTGAAATTGTAGAGAAATGATTTGTTTTAAAATAATTTTTGTTTCTGTGTGTGTGTGTGCATGCATGTGTGTGTTGCAGTTAACAAATATCTCTGAGAACCTATAAAACAACAGCTCTAATTTTAGGAGCTAAGGGTACAGTGAAAAATATTCAGGAGAGATGGCTAAGTAACAAAACAAGTGTAATATCTCTGACCAGTGCTAAGACAGGGAAAATGCCAGAACTTTTAGAAATGCCACCAAATGCAAACTAGGAGAGATCAGGGAAATCCCTGGAGGAATTAGCCACAGGTACTTTGATGTGTAGACAGCGTCAGGCCTGAGAAACAGCATTTGAAGAGGTTTGGAGGAGTTGAACTTAGTGATGTTGGAGGTATTGCAAAAAGGTGATATTAATAGAGTATAATATAGTAGAGAGTAGTAGGTAATGAAAATCAGAGGCCCAGTTATATAGATTATAAATTATATTGAGGAGTTTGGACTTTTAGGAGCTTGGGAAGCCAATGAAGGCTTTTAAGAATGGGAATAAGGTGATCAGATTTCTTCTTTAGAAACGTCTTTGTGACAATAATATGAAGAATGGAGAAAGGAAAAACAATGGCCAAATACAGCAGTGAGGAAATTGTCCTGGTAGTTCAGGTAAGGGAAGATCAGGGATGCTACCCTGAATCAGGGTAATCAGGGGGACAGAAGTGGGTAGATTAGAGATACTCAGGAGGTGGCCTAAATAGGAAATCATTGGTCTGACTGGGGATGGGAGAATGCAGGTGTCAATAGGAGTATCTCTGATTTTAGCTTTGGGAACTGGATGGGTGGTGATGCCTTTCATTGAAGTAGTATGGGCTTTGGAGAAACTGGTTTTGAGGTGGGGTTTCTTTTTTGGACATGTTGATTTTGTCACACTATAAGCCATCCAAGTAAATATATCCAGATTATAGTTAGCTCTGTATGTCTGAAGCTTAAAAATGTCTAGGCTGAAAGCATAATTTGGGACTCACCAGCATGTGCATGGTAATTTAAACGTTAACATAAATGAAGAGGCAACATTTAAGGGATGGGCAGAAGAGGATTCTATAAAGGATATGGAAAAGTAGAAATGTTGGAGATAAAGGAATACACATAAGCCCAGTGGAAGTCAAGACAGTGTCAAGAAGGAGGGGATGGTCAAAAAAGAAGTAGTGTTGATAGGCTATAGCAACAGGCAGTTACTGGCCCCCATGAAGGTGGATTCAGTGGAGTTGTGGGGCAGAAGCTAGATTGGGAGGGGTAAAGGGTTAAGGAAATGGTGACTACAAATGTAAATAACTCAAGGACTTTGGTGGGGAAGTAACATGTTAATATTATTACTTAGTTATTGCAGACTGATCAGGCCCAAGAATGTAAGGCAAAGGCTTAACTAAAAGAGTCAAGTGGTATGATTTTAGTGCTCTAGGAGGATCAAAACCCTCTAACAGAATTGAAGATTCTGTGGTGGCTAAGTCAAAGATCTTCTCTGGCCAGCCCATATTTATTTAGTTATCAAATAAAGGTTGGAAATACTGAAGAAAGGCGGGAATCTGAGCAGGATTATTCAAGGACCTTGTTCAATATAGGATTGAAAGAAGTGTTTTTTTTTGTGTGTGTGTGTGTTGAAATACTGAAGAAAGGTGGGAATCTGAGCAGGGCTTTTCAAGGACTGTTCAAGGACCTCTCCTGAAGGAGTTCTTCAAGTAATACATTTTGTTAATTTAGGAGAACCATGTTATCTCCGGGAATGCCTTCACTGTAGGAGTGAGATGCCTGCAGCTACAGTCTTTATCTGGTTAATTGAGGTTGAGGACAGGTGTCTTAGCTGTGGGCTTGTCTTGTCCTTTGAGGCATCACAGCTTCACCTGCCACTACAGGCCTCAGCCGAGACCAGTGACACATAGAGGTTTACTTACTATAAGTCTGCTGCCCATCTCCAGACTTAAGGGGCCTAAGGCTTGGACAGACTCACAAGTAAACATGAAAAGCCATTTGGTTAATTTAAATCCTGCTCAGAGCTGCTTTGTAGTGGTCCTATCAGAGAAGGAATGATAAAAATAGGATGGTATCTAGACGGGGGAATTAGGATTGAAGGAAGTGGTTCTTTTTGTTGAAATAAATTTATTTCATCTGTCTGTAAACAAGGTGTTTAATAGTTATGCCAGTTTTTGAATGCATATTAAATCAGATGAGTTAGGCTGTATCCCACATGTAACGAAGTGCAGGGAAAGAAATGGACAAATCAGCAATAGGGTTTGTTTTTAAATCTGTACATTATCCACAAGGCCCAAATAGTAGAAGCAAATGCTAGCATGTCTCTCAAGTAGTGCCATTTGAAAGAAACCCTTTATAGGTCAGTTAAAGTCCGTCTCACAATAGCAACAGTTCATTTTAACAATAGTATGGCACAGAATACATATGAAAAGAATTCATCACAAGACAGTGAAGTCCACAGCAGTGGAACTGCATATAAAAACTCAAGCTGCAAATAAAAATTGGCCCTATGAAGGACAAACTGGACACACCCTAGATGGTTATGTTGGAATACCTAATGTCCATAATGGCAGCCTTTATAATTTTACTGAAGAGTAGAGCTGGCGTGCAAAAAAAGACAGGAACAGAAATCTGAGCTGTTGCAATGATGGAATGTCCCTGGGGAGTCAAGCTGTATGTCACTCTAAGGTCACTGTAAGGAGAAAGAGCCTTTTGGTCATGTTTTGCAGGTGCTGTCTTCCTGTGTCCTATAGCTGCTATGAAAGAAGGTTAAGTGCAGTAACAATACTAAAAGCAAACTATGCAGCTCTCAATAGAGCATCAACAAAAGGGGGTATTACCTGGTTAAACAAACCAGGCACTGCATTTAAGAAAAAAGAGAATGGAAGCAAATGCAATACCTTCCGTGCAAAGGAAGAGTTGAGAAAAGAGTAGGGAGGGAAAGACGCATGTCCTGTTTCCTCCCAGCCACACTCTGCAAAAGGAAGACTACGTGAACCAAGTAAATGCTCAAAGTGCTGAAAGGACATTGATCAAATTAGAGATTGTACAACTGGCACCTTGGTTAATGTTAACTTATTTTAGTAATCAGTATCCCATTAATTGCCAAGCCAAAATGATGCCCAGTTTGGCATGTCTCGTTCCCCCAATTTCAAGATATCATGTAAATCATTATTGTGCTGCAATTATGTTGCCAAAGGTTGGTTACATACAGCGGTTAACATACAAATGATCCATTGGGCAAACAGGAATCACCACATTAGAAAATAGGTAAAGACAACTAGCTGCCATCTATAGTCTGGTAGCACTGTGACCATCATTGGGGTGGTGATGAAGAAAGACAGTTGCTAAGTAGATGTGGGGAGGCTGCTTATACATCAGACCCCCTCAGTTCATGTGCTTTCTGGTTAAGTGTGCCTCTCTGGGCACCTCCCTGTCCCACGGCTATAACCAGTGCTCTACCAGCTCTGCAACACTGTATGTTGGCTCCCATCTTGACTGTGTCTGGAAGTCCACTTTGTAGTCATCATCCATGTATAGACTGTCTCTGACCACTGAACACTTCTTTATGCCGAGTCAAACCGTTGGTAAAGAAACCTTTCCAATCTTCCCGCAGTCATGTCTATTTCTGTTGGTGTAATGGTCTGAAATACCCACCTGGCTGTCCAGATGACTTTGGCGTCACAGAAGCGACAGTGGTGGCCTCGTGGCCCAGCTATCGCAGTCACGTTGTCCTCATGGCTCTGCCAACTGGACAGCCTCATGCCCTTTGCACTGCAGCAGGGACTGCAGCACAGCAGTGCTTTCGTTGTCCTTGAGGTGGTGATTGAGAAGGTCTGTGTATTTCAATGTTTATATAAAAGGGCCTGGAGAGGAGAATCAGGTGAGAAAATCAGAATAATTCATAGAGGGAGAACTTTGCAAAGGGGGAGGGAGTTAGAGCATAGACTAGGTGGAGGGCTTAGTGTGTGCTGGGGGTGTGTTTAGGGAGTACCCTTCCTCTGTAGTAGAGAGCAAAACCCTCAAGATATGCATGGATCAGTGATATGGTACTCTGAATATCTGAAGATGGGAACCAGAAATTTCTTTTTAGGGAGTTTATTTTCTTTCAAAATAGATGATGGGCTTACCTGTTAATTGGGAGAAGGGAAGAAAATTTAAAACAGCTGTTATTGTAAGTGTCTGTAAGGGTAGTCAACATATGTAAATACTCAGTGAATATTCATTAACCCAGTAAATTGAATGACTGCAGGAATGCTGTGAAGAATGTGATAGCTCTTTCAGTAGAAAAAGTTTTTGAAAGCTGTTGTTGGAGGATCTGACTCTGAACTTTCAGTAACTGTGGTGTATTTTGTTTTAGGGAATCGTATTTGGGGTAAAGAACTAAAGGGAATACAGCTATGTCATGTAGCATGGTCTGCAGATAGTAAAATTTTACTTTTTGGAATGGCAAATGGAGAAATACATATTTATGATAATCAAGGAAATTTTATAGTAAGTGTATATATTATTTCTATTTATATCCTTTACATGATTATTTTATATAGTTCATATGTGCGCATATAATTACGACTTATGTAATCAGTCTTCAGTTCTTTCTTTTCTTTCCTTTTTGTACTGGGACTCGAACTCAGGACCTTGCACTTGCCAGGCAGGTGCTATATCCCCAGGAGTTTTCTTTTTTCAATCACCAGAAATTGTTATTTTTTTGTTAAAAGGAAGCCTTGTTTTCTTTAAGGCAAGTTAATGTAATATACTAAGAATGTAACTTTCAGTTCTGATTTTCTGGTAGTTGCATAGGACAAGATGTCCGTGCATTGAGGATGATGAGTGGGGTTATGTTAATGTAAACTTTTGAAGTGTCTTCTGGTGCCTGGAGCCAGAGTTTACATGCACATACCAAGGGTATTTTTGTAGAAACTAAGAGTTGTTGAAAAAAGAGTAGGAAACAAACTTAAGGAAAAAAGAAATCAATTCTAGAAAGAAGATAAAAAAGGTAGCATGATCCAGAGAGCAATTCTGCCTTTGCAAGATTTAGCTGTGACAGAACTGCCCATGAGGCATTTGTGTTTTCAGCGAGGATTAGGGCGTAACATAAACTTACTTGCTGGTGGAAGTAAAATCACTAACTTTTGCTTTGACACTTTGCTGTTTTCAAAGTACTTTCATATACTTCTTGTTGTTTGAGTCTCATAAAAACTGAATATTTTTATTATTTTACACATCAGGAAGATGGAGTGTTAGTGATTTGTTTGAGTTGGTAAGCCAAAAAGTGATTAATCTTGTGTGTTTGCAGCCCGATTTTTAGACCCCATTTTCAGTGTTCTTCCTCTGATAATCCATTCATATCAGTCTGTTTTCAGATGTAAATATTGACCCTGGTCACTTTTGTCTAGATAAAGATGAGACTGAGTTGCTTGGTGAATGTCACCGGAGCAGTCAGCATTGCTGGGATCCACTGGTACCACGGCACAGAGGGCTATGTGGAGCCTGACTGCCCTTGTCTCGCTATTTGTTTCGACAATGGGAGGTGCCAAATAATGAGACATGAGAATGACCAAAGTAAGTGGTCTGTTTGTTTAGCATTGGAGAAAAAATACTTAAAAAATTGTTCTTGAGATCATAAAGTGCTCTAGGCTAGGTGTGTTATTGTGTTATTGTCTCGTTTGTTTTTCATCCTGATTAGACCCAGTTCTGATAGATACGGGCATGTACGTGGTCAGCATCCAGTGGAACCACATTGGCAGTGTGTTAGCTGTGGCCGGCTCCCAGAAGGTGGTAACTCAGGACAAAGATGTAAACACTGTGCAGTTCTACACTCCGTTTGGTGAGGTAAATGTGTTAAAGTTTTATTTTTTCATTTAAAGGTGATTGGTAAGGGGAGGGAAAGAGGGAGGGGTCCTGTTTTCTTTTTGGAATATTTTGAGTAACAGTCTTGAGACACCAAATGTATATCTGAATAATGTCTTCATAGTGTAAGTCTTCGTTGTGTTTTATCATAGAAGCATTTTATAGTATGTCCATATAGAAAATTGGAAGGTGTACATAAGAAATCACTGGCTATTTAATATATTTTTTTCTGTGATCTGAATATGTATCTCTTTTCATGGCTGGAGTTTACATGGGTTTCAGGTATAGTGCATTTGTTGCAAGTTCATTTTTCTGATTTTTGATGTGATACTTTAAATGTGCTTAGGTAGTAAACATGTATCTGTTTGCCCTTCCCCTAAACTTGCAATATTTTAATTTCTTGCAGGTTAATCAATTATTTTAAGACTACCTGACAATAATCAACCTTAAATGATACCACATTAAAATTATAAATATTGTTTTCATAAATGCATATAGAGTATTATTCTTCCAATGGTATTATTAATAAATTTAATTTTAAAGACATTTTTTTGAAGAAGCATTGGAGCATTCAAGTAGAAGAATATATTCTCATATATATGTGAACTTAGAAGATTTAGAAAATAAGAGTTTATTAATAACAAAGCTTCATATATTTTTACATATCTTATTTTTCAGTCCTAAACTATCTTTTCTTCCTTTTGGATACTTTGCAGGTTTTTCTAAATTCACTGTATACTACAATAATATGTATTTTTGGTGAGATGGAAATGTCTATACAAGTTAGATTAATATCTTAATATTGATATTTTAATTTAATGGTAGTATTTTATGTGTTTTGATAATTTCTGTCAGGTAAGAAATGGTATCATATGTTGCTTTTGACTCAGTATCTCAAAGTTACCCTGTACCGTGTGCTGGTGAGAACAGGTATTCTCTGTGCATTGTCAGCTGACAATATTTGTGGTAAATGTAAAGGCTAAGGAAAAACAAGGGCATGGTAGTAAAGATTCCTAATAATCAGAAATCTGATTTCTTACTATTTCTTTGTGTAGAGCTTCCTTCTAGCAACCTTTGTTGGTTTTTTTTGTTGGTTCTCCTTGGTTTATTTATCATTATATTGTTTTTGTTCCGTGTTTGGCCTTCTCCAGATAGAAAAACATGGGTTCGAAGGTTTATGTGTTTTATCCTGTAAAACAGTGTGTGAAGTGTTAAGCTAAAAATTATAAATGGTTTAGTACAGTTGTAGCCAAGAGTACCAGTCACAGTTCCTCAGGGCCCATTAGCCACTGGTGTTTTTCTGAATGAGTGGATAGGTGGGGGGTTCATTTTTGCATCTGTGTTATTGTGAAGATAGGGGAGATACTTAGAAGGAAGATACCTAAATATATAAGAAAACCTTGGGGAGGAATAAGCTTTGATTCTGGGGACCAGGAGGTCCTGGGTTTTGTGCTGTGGATTTAGCAAGGTAGGGCACAGCATCTGTAGTCAAGTGGACCTGGCTTTGAATTGCATTTCCACATGAGGCTTGACTTAGAGAAGCTGTTTAAGCTGAGATGCAGCTGTTCTGAAATAGGGCTGATACCTCATAGTGTGCATAGGATTAATGGAGATAACAAGGCTGAAGTGGTGAATGCTTAGAAAGTTGGGTTTCTGCCCTTGCTCCTGTGACCATCTGGCTGGTTTGTATAGCGAGGAGATGGCCTTACTCTCCCTCTGTGGCTGGGTCAGTAGCAGGAGTACTGTTGTGGGGGCTGGCTTGTTCCTTTTAGTTTCATTTAGGCAGCAAGATAGACCCTGCTAGGTTAAAGTTTGTTTTTTTTCCTCTTTTGGTTTCTTTGGCCCAAGGGGGTTGAATACATTTACTTGTCACACTGGTACAATACAATGCCACAGACTGGGTACTTTATAGTGAACAGGCGTTTATTTGCTCCCAGGTTGGGAGACTGAGATGTCCCTTATGACCTGTCAAGGCCTTTGGTGAGGGTCTTGTTGCTGCTTTATCGTATGGTATGAGGTGGAACGGCAAAGAGAAAGGGCCTGAAAGAGACACAAGGGGGCTGAACCACCCTTTGGTGGTGACGTTGACTCACTTGTTTCTTACAGGTCCCTCCTCTTAGTACCGTTGTGATGGCAGTTACACTGCAGTGTTGGACGGACACATGTTCACACCACTGAAGTATTAAGTTTGACTTTAGAGCCTATCTGGATAAGAACAAGGGATACCAGTGCAGTTAATAAAATTCATAGGATTATACTGGTCAGTCAAATAAGAAGTCAGGTTAAAAACATTTGTCCTTTTTATGGCCACATTAAAAAATGTATTCATGTACTCGTTCATTTATCAAATGTTACTGTATGAAGATTAGTTGGGATGTACATTTATTTGCTCAGCATGTATTTACTGAACACCTGTCTTCTAGGTAATCTCTGGGTGTGAAGGAGTGAGTGCTCCCAGGACTCCTGTGGATGTTCTGAACCCATAGAGGGTGGGAAAGTTGGGTTCATGGAGGAAGCACCATTTGAGGTGGACTTGGAGGGTGAAGAGACAAGGAACATCCAGGACAGGGATGTGTGGGCAAGCAGAGGTGGACTCAAGCGGCAGGGCCACGATAAAGGTCGGTGGCTGGGTGGCGCAGGAGTCCCTCAGGAGTCGGCACACATAAGCACAGCTGGATAGTGGGGCATTCAGCTAAAGGACAGAATTTGGGGCCAGGTGGGAAAAAGGCGTTCTGTCCCATGCTAAAGAACATATTGATCGTGGTTAACTATTGGTTTTTAAAAATTAAGCCTCCTTTAAAGCAGGAAGGATAAGGTCAGATTTGTCTCCCTAGAGATGGTTTTGACAGCAGAGTAAGGATGGAACTGCAGGGTGGAGGGTGGGAATGAGGAGAAACACAGACGTAGAGGCGCCTCTTCCCCTGGCCCAGGCAGCTGAAGAGGCAGCGTGGAGACAGGTGCAGGAGTCATGGCGTGGCCACTGGCTGGTTGTGAGGGATGAAAGGGAAAGGCAAGGCTTTACAGTAGAATTTATATTTTTTTGGCTTTAAAAAGTCATTTTTTACCATTCTAAAATTGGGGCGTATCTTATAATCAAAGTTGCCATACTTTAATTAACACTGTGTTTTCTTAGTTGTTCTTAGTTAAAAGTAAAGATACATATTTCAGTCTGTGGCATCTTAGATTTGAAGAAATTTGATATTTAATTTTTTGCATAGAGCCTGTACATTTTCCCATTGTATGCACATTTTCTATTATAAAAATTCAAAGGAAATGATTTTAAAAAGATAACCATTGACAAAGTAGTTTTCATATCGTTTTTTATCTTGATGGAGTGTTTGGTGGTAATTTGTTGACTGTGAGACTTTAGGTTAAATATGTGTTCTTTTCCAGCATCTGGGTACTTTGAAGGTTCCTGGAAAGCACATGTCTGCACTCTCTTGGGAAGGAGGCGGACTGAAAATTGCGCTAGCCGTTGATTCCTTCATTTATTTTGCAAATATTCGACCTGATTATAAGGTATTGAGAGTAGTTATAAAGTGTTTTTACTAAATAATTTTGTTACAGCCCAAAGTATATTCATAGCTGTTTTGTTTTATAAACTAACAGAGAGGAGGCTTTTTCTCTGTGTGAAGACCTTAGAACCAGTAAATAGTAAATGTTTCTAGAATACTCTCATAGTTAGGAAAATGACTGCATGAATCAGCGTCCCAGGAGGAAACACACTTACTCCAAGGAGTAACTGAAGGGTTTATTGGAGAAGTATGGACAGGGTTAAGAGGCAGAGCAAAAGAAATAAAGCAGGCATCCAAGGCTTATATATATGAGGTACCATCACCAGCCCAGGGCTCAAAGGAGTGAGGTGAGAAAGTAATGCTCCTGGAACTCACGAGAACTATGGCCATGCAGGAGGCACTGCCAAACCGACCAGGCAGGGAGGGGCTGGGGAGTAAATACTCCCAGTCATCTCACCATGTCTGCCTGTTGTCCTTTCAATACATTTCCCACACCCTTTCCTGCAGTCCCAGTAACGGTTAGCAACTATTGAAAATTTCCACCACTGAAGCTTAAATTTGACAAATTAAAATAAGTTAATTTTATTTTTACAATAATTCCTTGTTTCAAAAATATCTTTACTACTACTTTTAGATTTGTTATTTTAGTAAAAAAAAGATACTAAGCTATAGCTCTCATTTCTGAAAAGTATATTTTGTGAGCTGATAAATCATCTAACTACAATATTGCTAGAATAAAATAGAAGACTATGATTTTTCTTTCCCAAGCTAAGTATTCTGTCTGCCTTTCTGTCTCCTTCTCTCCCTTCTTTTTCTCCTTCCCTTATCCCCTTCCTGTTTTTTTCTTTCTAGTGGGGCTATTGCTCAAACACTGTAGTTTATGCATATACCAGACCTGACCGTCCTGAGTACTGTGTTGTCTTTTGGGATACAAAAAACAATGAGAAATATGTTAAATATGTGAAGAGTCTCATTTCTATCACCACCTGTGGCGATTTCTGCATTTTGGCTACGAAAGCTGATGAAAGCCATCCTCAGGTAGGTACTCTTTTAGTTTATTGAAACACAGATGGCTTAACAATTGGCAGGATTAGGCTATAGTTAGCTACTTTATCAAGCATGACCTGTACACTAGGAAGCATAGCTAAGTGTTAGGTCTATGTTAGGTCTATGGGCCATGTCTATTTAGGCCTCCAAAATGAAAATGGTGTGACTTGATGGGTTCTGTATCCTTTAACCCTCTTTTTCTGTCCAGTCAGCCAGTTGTTGGCAGTTAATGTGACTGGTTCAATACTGAAGTTTTTGTCTCTGAAACATATATAAATATCATAGTCTTCTTCCAAGTTAAAATTATACAAGCAAAAAAGGAATATATAGATGTCTAATACAAATGCTAGAGAAATTATATAACAATGACCATTGATAACTGGATAGATTGTGACACCAAGAGATCTACTTTTATTTGGAATTATGTTGGAATAAAAGTCAATATTATAGCATAAAATAAATAATATAAAATATCTTTTAAAATTATGCTAACAATTTAAGTATTTGCAGAAGTATATCAATATTTCAAAATAGGTCTATCAGTGTCTTTGGCTGGGTTATAATTTTTTATCGCACTTAAAAATGTAGCATTTTGGGTTAAAGGTGACAGTTTAACAGCCACATGTGGCTTTGTTCTCTCCTGAAACTCACTAAAGCAACAGTAAAAGTATTAAAAAGTTACAAGCCCATAGGGACCAGAGGAGGGAGGAAATGGCAGCAGAATTTTGAAGGCTAAAGAGTAGGTGGATTCGTGATAATTACCTTAGCAGACTTAGGCAAGCTGAACCTTAAGCCTTTTGTGGAGAAAGCAGAGGGAGCAGAATGCTGAAGAGGCACAGGACTTGGGTTGCTGAGTGGGAAAAAGAAACAGATCAAGCAGTGTGGAAGTGCCAGAGATGATTTGGGAAAGAGAAGACTTAAAAAAAAAAAGGGCACATAAAACTGCAGACTCCCAGATCACTTCCTCCAGACAGAGCCTTGCAGCCCTCTTACACCTATGAAGGCTGGGTTTAGTTTCTAAGGAGGATCAAAAGGAATCTCTGCACTGAATGGCACTAAGCGTAGCTGAGATTGGAAGAGCTCTGGCTGAAAACCAACCAGTAGAACAATACATTTGCTATCCAGTATCACCCCAGTCTTCCTTCCCCACCTGGTTCCCAGAGCAGTGGCAGTCAAGCATCAAGCCTTGAGGTGGTAGATTGGAAGAGTCATCCCTGCACAGTGGAAGAGTCACCCCTGGACAATCTGACTGGCTCACAAGAAGGACCTGTAAAGATACTGAGATTGGGAATCCCCAAGAAAGCACCCCTGCCTGATTACCTTACAGTAAAGGCCATGATCAGGGCCCCTCATTCACGGACAGTTAGGTTTCAGACAGCTTCTTATTTTTTTTTTTTTTTTTTTGTACTGGGAATCGAACTCAGGACCTTGTGTTTGCCAGGTAGATGCTTATGCCACTGAGCTATATCCCAGGCCCCCCAGACAGCTTCTTAGGGTCCCATGCTTAAATGCAGCAGATGGACTAGGTTTCTCAGACACTTGAGGGCAGCATCTAATTTAACACAAAGATACCAAACTCAAACACAAGAAGAAAAGAACTTGGAGGAAGCAGAGATTGCACAGGAAGCAGAACATTTCAAGAGCACCTTCATCTCAAAAGGACCATCACTGTAATCCTCAGAGAGTTACAAGGCTCCATCCCTAAAATAAGACGATGCTTTAGAATAGGAAATTCTTGGAAATTATAAATATGGTAGCCACAGTGAAAAACTTGCCAGAATATTCAAAAATAAAATGAAGGATAGGTGGGGAGATGAGAAAAAAGAAAATTGAAGGACTAGTACTGGAGATTCAGCATTTGAATAATAGTTTTATAAAGAGTAAAGAGGCAAAATGGAGGGAAGTAAATATGAAAAAAATCCAAGAAAGTTTCTTTTAAGATTGTACATTGGAAGTGTCTAGCTCCATGAATGAGAATGTTTCCATATCAAGATGTCATTGTGAAATTTCAGAATGCTTAACATGCCATCAGCTTTCAGAGTGGAAAAATAGGTTTCTTAAGATGAGGAATCATAATGGCATGAAATTTGTCAACAGCAGTACTTTGGAGAATTGCCTTCAAAATTCTGAGGAAAAATGATTTGGTGGTAGTGGTGGATTGAACCCTGGGCTACTGAGCTATATCTCCAGCTTTTTATTTTTTAATGTAAACTTAAATATAACATTAGAATATAGACTTTTTTTTAGATGTGCACAGCAAAAAGTTACCTTCTAGGCTTCCCTATCTTAGAGAGTTACTTCAGGACAAAGTCCACAGAGATGAACAGAAAAAGAGGCAGAAGCAGGAGCTGTGGTCCCCATGGGAAGAGTGGTACCCGCCTTCTGCTGTGCACATGCCCAGGAGTCTGAGGAGAGGAGGACAGAAGGCTCCAGAAGAAATTCTAGGGGCTGCAGTTACTGAAATACCTACTGTGTTTGAATCCCTGAGAAAAGACAGGCATATATGGGGAATGATTGGTAATAAGTACATAGAAAACTAAGCAAAGGGAAAAATTAGACAATTGCCAACTATTACAGTTACCAGTTGCACCAGGGAAAGCAAAATATACTTGAAAGGAGAATACATTATATTTGGTGGTTTAGCTATGAGTAGCATTTACATCATCAAAATGATATCATCATGGAGGCTTTCAAAATAAATTTCTTTTCATTGAAATATAATAAACATTCATCCCTAAGTTCTGGTCTGATAAAATGTTGTGAAAAGTGAAAAGATAGAGGGATGGAAGTGGGCTGTTTTGAGGTAGAATGGAAAAGGGGATGGAAAAAAGCTAAACACTTGTCTTCCTTAGTGGGAAGGCAAAGACAGTACAACAGATTGAAACACAGCAAATTAAGAGTAGCACTGTAAACATGTTACTTGAATTCGTGGAAGGAAGTAGCAAAGGATATGTTAAAGGGAGTAGTACATGGGAAGCCAGGGGGATCACCAGTCTTAGTAAGGAGTCTTGTAGAATTATTTGAGTCTTGAAACTATAAACGTGAAAAACTAATCGAAATAAGAAGTAGCTTATAATTATTTATGGTATATTTGGCAGCAAGTAAGCTTATTTTAAATAGTGGAAGGATAACATGTCTGTAGTATATATTTATATTTATCATTTAGTTATGAAATTAAACCAATTTTAATTGAGATGCTGAAAAAATATATGTAAATAGCATATAGAAAATTGCTTTGTTTGAAAGCATTCAGGTCAGAAAGTATCTTAAGTAGAATGGTATTGTTAGCACAAGATACAGAAAAAGTGAATAAGTAAGAAAAATGAAATGATCACTTCAGAAGCATATGATATAAAGTATGTATTGTGCTTGATCATTTTCCTAATACAGTATTAGTTACTGATAATTGTTTATATATGTTATTTTTACTATATTGGATTGTATCTTTTTAAATTATATCTTTTTTAATTAACTGAATTTTTCTGAATTTCTCATGTCATTTATATATTGCTTCAAAGGAGGACAATGAGATGGAGACATTTGGTGCAACGGTAACACATTGAGTTAGCTCTTCTGTAGCTGATTATTGATGTTATATTTGATCTGGAGCATTAGAAACATAACTGCTGAAAAGTAGCCAGTATATTTGTGTTTCTTAAATATCCTCTTCAAAATCACAGTGTTCCACTCTTCTGAGAAATCTTCCTCGGTTGAATTTTAAATTATGTTTTCTAAAAAATAGTTAAAGCTGTGGATTATTTTTCTTTTTGTTTGCTATTCTTTATACCTAAAATTTTTATAACTACTTATACCTAAAATTTTTATCAGTTAGTGATACTTGAAAAAAATAAGCACAATTATCTATTGAGTGCATTTCCTTTATTGGTCATAAGCAAGAGTTCTGATATCCTTTTTGCTTTGTTTGTCCACAGTTTGTGCTGGTTCTTTGTAACTCAATTGGCACACCCTTGGATCCCAAGTACATTGATATTGGTAAGGAAATGCTAATATTTTTTTCCTACCCAATCAGGTTTCATTTGCAACACTAGTTAAAAAACCTAACAGTAGTATCAATTAGAGTGGTATTTCTCTAAGATGAGATTGACTCTATTTCCTGGTTGTCAGATCTAGTACCAGTTTATACCTGTTCTCATGGTAGAATTATTAACGCACCATTTCACTCTCAGAAGCATTCTGATTAAGACAGACTAATAAAGTATAAATTTATTTATTATAAATTTATTATAAATTATAATATATATTTATAATATTATAAATTATAAAGTTGCATATCTGAAATCCATAATAATTTCATAACTGTCATTGCCATCATTTGCTTTAAATGGAAAATACAATTGTATGGGAATTGGTATGTAATGTAATGATTAGTAAGTAATAAACAGTATTATAGAAAGAATTTTGCTGTTAAACCACTTGCATTATTAATAAACTGCTTGTAAATACCTTTCTTCTATAAAACTGCTTTAGTTGCTTGTAAAAGGGAGTTTACCCTTTTTAGGTTTTTTTTTTTTTTAAATAAAACTATTCTATTAATAGGGATGGCTTTAAAAAATTCCCTGCTTTTCCTTTTCAGAGGACATTGGTTGGTTTAGGTTTACCTTTCCCTCTGTCCAGTAGCTGTGAAAGTCACCCATTACAAAAACTCCAGATCTTGTTCTGAGAAGTTTGTTAGGAATCATTAACAAATGTTCTGTTGCCATTCACTATAACTTCCAAACGTGATGATTTTCTGTTAAAGTGTATGGCACTTTTTGTATATGGTATGATGAAAACTGCTTGATCTAAAACTTAAAAACCCATTGAACTTTATGATCCTGAGAACTAGTCATTTTTTTTTTTCAGATTGAACATTTAGTCTTAAATAATGTTAATGTTACCTTCTAAATGTTTGCATTTTGCTGATAAGCTCTTGGGCTGATTCAAATAAATGTGAGAAATATTTATGGCTTCAAAGATTTTATACTCCATGTTTAGTTTTAGTGTCTTGTTAGCTTGGTCATTTTGATGTATTGCTTTATGTTCATTGTTGAATATCTATGTTTAGATTTTTATACATACATATGTACATACATGTTACTGTTCCTCATTAGAAGGCTTAGGTCCTAAAAATTATTTTAGAAGGTTTAGGTCCTAAAAATTATTTTAGAAGGCTTAGGTCCTAAAAATTATTTTAGAAGGCTTAGGTCCTAAAAATTATTTTAGGACCTTCTCATATGAATATCTTTCATTTATTAGAAGCTAACAGTCTTTAAGGGGTAAATTCTGTCAATCTAGATCTTTTTCTGTTAATATTAAAAGTTTTAATACAGAAACATATGATAGAGTTAGCTTCAAAATAATTTTTATCACAGGTAGACCAGTTTTTAAATAAAGCTAAATGTAAACCCTTCTTCTTCATAAAATGGCAAATACTTGAGGGCATGTTTATTTGTGTTTTTGAGTCTCAGAGCTTTTTTTGCAGTTTTGCTGGCTGAAAATTGAACAAATAGTTCTTTCATTGACCTGCCGCAAACATAGCCAAAGACTCAGCATTTTTGTTTCATACATATCCTGTTTCTTTTTAAAGTTTCTGTGCCAGATTTTCATGAGGACTAGAGACTAAAACAGCAGTAATGAAAAACATGTGTGGCTGGTGCTATTCTAGAATGTATTATTTTTGTTTTGCCATCTGCTCTTCCTCCTAACAATCTGTGTTGAAGTCTTCAAAAGAACTTTGCACATCCGTGTAGAGTGTGGCTGGTGGGGTCTCTTGCGGTCTCTGTGTAAGATTTGTGATGCCCTCTTTTGCTGCTCTTCCATGGAGCCCTCAGGATACCTTTGGTGTTCCTCTACCCAAAGTACTTCTAGCCATGGACTGTAATTACTGATTTTATTTTGATCTTCCCTTTTAGACTTTGAACTTTTAAAAGACTGTGTCTAGTTACTAATTTCTATATCCCCAATACCCAGTACTGTGATTGGCCCATAATAAACATTTATTGAATTTGTGGAAAATATTTTTTTTCTGTCCCGTGTAAAATAGAAAGTAATAATGTAGGGATGGGAAGTGGATGTTGCTCAGTAGTAGAGCCTAGAGGAGTGATGGCAAACCTTTTAGAGATGACTGTCCAAACTGCAACTCCAAATCCACTTATTGATTGCAAAGTGCCAACACTGCAGTTAAACCTGAATGCTTGGCTGCTGGGGCCATGCTGGGGTGATGTGGCTCAAATGCCAACAGAGGGAGCTCTGCGTGCCCACTGAGGCATGCGTGCCATAGGTTCACCACCACCAGCCTAGAGTGTGGAAGGCCTCAGCGCTTAAAAAAAGCGATTATTTATTTAGCCAACCTTTAATGAGTATGTATGTTTGAGATAGTGTAGGGGTCATTGGAAATCATAAGAAATTATGGCATTTCTTACAGAATGTCCAAACAAATAATCAGTCTGATATAGTCAACAATGGCTTAGTGCTCCCTTGCTGCGTGCGTGGATTGTGCGAGGTGCTGAGGTGCTCATGGGAATGTGTAGTTAGAAAACTTGCATTTGGTCTGTGCCTTGAGGGCTAAGTGTTCCTTCAGCAGTGTTAAGGAGGGAAGACAGTGTTGCCAGAGGATGAAGCGGGAAAAGTTGTCAGAAGGGCCAGGCAGCTTGGGCCCCAGCAGTGGGGCCAGCACACAGGTCGCTTTCTTGTGCCGGTCTCTGCCACACGCACCTGTGTTCCAGAGGAAGACAATTTAGTGAGAACGTTTCAGTGCAATTTCAGTTTACCAGTTCTTTTTAAAGGGTTGAGAAATGTTTAAGTTTTGAAGAGGGGGAACATTGCAGATGTAGGCATTTATTTCAGGCCTCAGCATTAAAATGTTACAAGCAGGTTTTATTTATATGTGAATTCCTAAGTTGTTTTAAACTATTTTACATCCAGAGTTAGCTGGTAAGTACTACTTAATATGTCTCAAAGTCCAATTAATGGAAGCATAATTATTAAAAAAAAATTTTGACCAGTACTCTTTGTAGATATTTCAAATTCTTTCTTTTTGGGTATTGAATAGTTGAGAGGCTATGAGGTGCCTTTATCCAGGTGATGTTCCTTTCTTAAAAAGTTTTCTTAAGATTTGGTCTTCTTTTTGCTAGAAGATTGGTCTGGTGGAATGAATCTTTTACTAAAGATCTGTCAAATTTATATTGATGGCCTTATGTACCCATGTAAATTTACTGGATTTACTACTATATTGATTTGAAAGAACATGTATTTCAGATTTTGTTTTTGCTTTTTGTATTGGCTGGAGAATTTTCATAGGGATTACGTTACAAAACTTGCATAGATTATAATTAAAAAGTAGAAACAGTAAGAACAACCAAGCTAATACATGTCCTTCCAAATCCTTCCTGAGGGGCAGCATGTGGCCAGGTCCGGAGCACTGCTGAGCCAGGGGACCTGGGTTTGTGTGCAGCTCTTCAGTCATTTAATGGCTCAGTCTCTTCCTCTGCCACATGGAGGTGATACAGTAATGCCTGCCTTACAGGGTGGGTGTAAGTTAATTTAAGTACTGTACTAGTTTAGAAGAATGCATGGCATATACTTCAAAAAATCAGTCAATATTGACTTTTTCAGTTATTAAGAGCTAGCTGCCTGGGACTGTGCTGTGCTTTATATTTATTTTCTCCTGTAAACCTCAAATGACTCTATAGGTTTGGCATTATCATTATCTTCAACTTACACAATAAGTAATCAAGCTCAGAAATGGCTTGGTTTCTTTTCTCATTGCTGAAGTAAAACACCTGGCACCTAAAGTGAAAGGAGGAAAGATTTATTGTAGCTCACAGTTTGTAGAGGTCTCAGCTAGTTGGCTGGCTCCAAACCAGGGTGGTGTGGCCGAGGGCATCACAGAGAAGAAAAACACAGCGCATGGTGTGGAAGACAGGAAGCAGGAGGCAGCAGAACCTGCAAGTGCAAGAGAGGGCAGCAGCCCTCTTTCTGTCTCATATTCTGTCCAGGCTAACACCCTCAGGGCAGGTAGCACTCACACTCAGGGTGGGCCTTCCCATTATCCACGCCTAGAACTGTGCCAGACCAATCAGTAGACTAGTTTAGTCATCATACACCCTAGATCCCAGCATCACACACCCTAGACCCAACCGCCTCTGAAAAGCCCCACCTATGACCATATGAGGCTTAGGGGGGACATCGAGACACAAGCCATAACAAGAGAGAACAATTCATTTATCTGATGTCACAGTTAGCAAGTACCTGTAATTTAAATCCAGAAGTCTCTTACCTTGAGCCACTAACATTTTAACTTTGAATTAATCAGGCTAATGATAAACTCTTGTGACTATTAAGGTTGCATCAAAAAGAAATGAATGCAATTTATAATTGCAGTTAAACACTGGTTGGAAAGATGCTTTTATATATGCTTAAGAAAAACTGTATTTAATTAGAAAGCAATAAATGTTCAAAGACTTCATATCTAGTTAAGAGCATGATTGTAACCAACATCAGAATATTCATGGTGGAACTTGCTAACTGTGTAGTAAATGTTTCAAGGTTTTGTAAAGTCAAGATCAGGGAAAGTGGAGTCTAAGCTGGGTATGAGCGCCCTCTAGGAGCTTGGCTGACGTTCCCCATGCCTGGCTTTTGCTCTCTCCAGGAAAGGCTTCAACGCCCTCTAGAGGTCATTACTAGTACACATATGAATAGAAAGTCTTGACAACTGTAATAAAAAAAGTAAGTATGACTCAATTATACTGGGTTATCTAGTATATAAGATGATTTAATTTGAATTCTAGAGTTGTTAACCTATTCAGTTAACATCGTACCATCAGACTGCACTTCAATTCTTCAATTTCTCTTACCGCCGGACAGTAGCAAGAGCTCTCTAAATGGTTATTCTTGTTAACATCGTACTTTATTCTGGTCATATTAATTATTGCTTTGTGTAGTATTTGTAAGTAGAAAAATTAAGTTTTACGCTGTTCTAATTAAATTTAGAAAATGGGGACTAAAACGACCTTTTATAGAAGAGTAATTTAGCTTTTATATATTTCTTGCATGTAGTTAGTTTTATATTGTTTCTGTTTTGTGATTGTGGGCACAATTAGTTCTTAATTGGATTTGATGAGACTATTTCATTAAAGGGTACAGAGTGTTAGCTCAATTAAATATTCTCTAAGAAATGGAATAGATGAAAAAATTTGCATAGACTAAATTCCTAAATCAGGAAGGAACTTGGGAAAATATTTTTCTAAGTTGCAGTGGAATATAGAACATGAAATGAAGGGAAGGGATAAATCCTTTTTAAAAAAATTTTATTTTAAAGAGAAAAAATATTTCAAAACAAGATAATAGGAGAGTAACAATGGTCAATATATTGTGTATTGTTATCTTTAAATTAGTTATTCAGAGTACAAGATATAGGCATTTAATTGTCCAAACGATATTGGCACAAACCTTTCAATGAACTAAGAGAAATTAGTAGTGTCACTAATATATATATATTTGCTTTTCCGGGAAGGGATAAATCCTGAATCAAGTCATAATTGGTAGTGGGGTGGAGAGGCAAACCATGTATCAGTTTAGAGCATATGGGTTGTTTCTGCTTTTTGGCTATTGTAATACTTTAATGAATGTGTCTTTGTGAGTTTTTGTGTGGACATATACTTTAATTTCTCTTGAATATATAGGAATGAAGTTTCTAGGGCATATATAATATATATATGTAATTATGTAACTATGTGACATTTTGAGGTACTGTCAAATTGTCTCAGTGGATTTTTACATTTCTACCATTTCTCCACACCCTTGTCAACACTCGTAATTATCTGACTTTTGTCTCTAGCCATTTTTGTGGTTGTCAAGGAATATCTCATTATGGTTTTCGTCTCTGATGTTTAATGATGTTGATTGTCTTTTCATCTGGGTAATGGCCTTCAAAAAATCTTAGTTGGAGAATTGTACCCAGATTCCTTGCCCACTTGTTAATTGGGCTATTAAAATTTTTATGTAGTATATATTTGCAATACCTAGGAATACATTCATTATGGGGAGTGTTGGTATGGGTTATATCACATTACAATCCTTTTTATTTCCCCTGCTTCTTCTTTCTACCCTCTTCCTCCATTGCTAGATCCCCTTCCCATCTGGATAAGGCACCAACCATTCCCAAACTCAAAGTCACAAAGGTGGATTCCTAAGATTTCTTTTAAGTGTTACAGTTTTAGCTCTTGCATTTAGACCTTTGAACCATTTTGAGTTAATATTTTTATAGTCCTACAAACTTTTGATTACTTTCTGATTGGAGAGGCTGTATATGGGTATTTTGAGACAGTAGGTATTCTGCATCTTTGTAAAATGAGGGGTTGGGCTCAGTGATTACTGAAGTGCTTTGGAACATATTCTGTGATTCTTCATAACCATAACTTAATTTTCTTTATATTGTTTTTAATAGTACCACTCTTTGTTACAATGACCAAAACCCATGTGATAGCAGCTTCAAAGGAAGCATTTTATATCTGGCAATATCGTGTGGCAAAGAAGCTGACAGCATTGGAAATCAATCAGATCACGCGATCTCGGAAAGAAGGGAGAGAACGGTATCTTTTCTGAAATATCTTCCTCTAGTAGCTTAATCATATCAAATTTAAATCAGACATAGTTAACTGTAATTGTTATGCTTGAGAAAGGTAAGTTGCCTTGATCAGCAAAAATATCTTTCCATTAATTTGAATATGTTTTAAATCAATCTGTTTAAATTTATCAAATAGAAGACAGCATAGTCTAATAAAAGAAAGTCCTTACAGGCTGGAAATACAGGTGTTTTGTAAGAAAGTGCTGTCCTCACTCCCCCACTCTAGCATATTAGGGTTATTATGTTACACTGAAATACCCTTACTCAGTTGAGGTCTAAATGTCTTAACTAAAGCTTCATTTCTGTGGGCTATGGGTCTTTCCAGGAGGGCAGGGTGATTCTGATTTTGGTTACCAGAGGAGAAGCAGGTGCTCAGACACAGGTAGAGAAGGAGCCTTTAGGTGGGGTGACTTAGGAATTTGGGTTCTTTCCCTTTGCCTGGATTCCAGGGAGTCTGGGGTTGGAATGACTTCTGGTATGTGAAAGTCAGGATGACTCTGCCACACGGAAAGGTGAGGGTTAGGCAAGAAGGGCTTCAGTAGGAAATCTCAGGTGCAGGTGTATACACTGTGCTTTGTAAGTTATTTTGTTTGTGTTGGTGATACCTTCTCCTTTTTGTTTTTGTAATTGCAGCAGTGGAAACATGGCTAGCATTGTCAGGTTTGGCATTCCCTGGAGCAGACTAAGAACAGAAGTAAAAGGTGCAAACATGTTAATATAATCAGTCCATTATAGAATCCATGATGGGTCTGTTGGCAGCAGACTTCCCCACTGGTTTGAAGATCTCATCTTTCTATGGCCACATGTTCCAGGATGGCATCCGTAATGATGATGTATGACAAGTTATGAATTTTCTTTATGAGGTAGATTTGATGGATCCTGGTAGAAGGAATCTAGCATATTTATTGTTGGTTTCATCTGTATGGTTACTTGGAGTTTGGTAGTATCTAGGTGAGAATAACCAATTTTTTGGAGAAATTAGTATTACTGTGGCGGTGTTTTATACATCTTGTGGTTGTACTTTCCTGCTAGTTGTTCAAGACCAAGTTAAAGTGAGACCTCTGTTAATTAAAATTAACTTCTTGCTATCTATCAAGGTCAGCCAAATCTCCTCAGGATTTACCTTGGTACCATGTACAGTGCCTCTCAGTTCTGCTGTTGTGTCAACCCTCCGGATGAGTCATGACCATTGCTTGACCAAGTTGCTTTCTCTGAAAGTTTGAGAGATTTTTCTTTCCTGGTGACTTTCTTTAGGCATAGAATATTGAAGCAAAGGTTCTCTTATGTCCTGGGTCCTCACTGACCTCAGAGGGCTAGGGCTAAAATATTGGCTATCCACTTAGCCTACCTATCTTTCTAATTTTTGGTGTCCAAACTTCAGCTGTTGAACAGCCAGAAGAGAAGGTTAATGACATTACATTGTAGTAGGAGCGCCTTGGAATGTAAAGTATAGCCAGAAAACTGTTGTTTTTTTCTTTAGCAACCAAGGATGTTCTAGTAGTTAAATCCCTATAAAATGTTAACAGATAACAGTTATGTGGTTTTACGGAGAAAATTTGAGATCAGCAGCCATACATAGTAGTGCAGCATAACAGATATGATGACATTTTTTGAAACACATTTAAATCTCCATCTTGAAATAGAATAACCTTTTTAGTCAATCATCCCTACCTAATACATAAGAAGCTTTTACCTAATTTGTTCACCTTTAATAAGATGTCACTGAACAAGTTTGTAATATTGTCTGAGCTGTTCAGTATCTAAGTATCCCTAAATGTAGTGGCATGTACATAGCATACACATCACATAGGTTTTTACTAAAAATTATCATTTGACTGAAGACCTTGTGTTGACTTGACATGAACCTCTTATTACATGTATCTGGGGCACAAGAGAATGGCAGATGTCTATCACTATAAACAATTCCAGTTTTATACTTTAGAATAATATACATTTGGAAGGCATGAATGCATTTAATACACCATGAAATTAGCAATAACAAATTGTCATTATTTTGTTTCTTGATTTAGTTTTGTACTAAGAACATCTTTTAATCTGAAAACCTTATTGTCTTCTTTTTTGAAAACTTAACTTTTTGATGATGACCAATGTAAATATATCACAATAATATATTTTGAACAGTATTTATTGGGGTGTCTCGCATAAGGCTATGAAAATTATTGGGGCTTACCATTAATGAACAAGGACTAGAAGAATGTTTCCAGGCAGCTGCTTTCTTATTCATCAGTTGGAGTCCTGTCCAATAGTTTCTTCTCACCCTAAGGGACTTTTGTTTAATTATCTTAATAAATTTTTGATAACCCATGAAAACACAATCTTAATACTTAACATATTAAATTTGAACAAAAGACTCTCAAGTCATAATACATAAACAACAATATGCATAACATTTATAAAAGCAATTTTGACATCATTTTGACCAGCTGGCAACCTTGGTGGAAACATATCCTTTATTTTAGATGACATTTATCTATAAGCCAAATTAAATTATAGGCAAATGTTTCAAAAATGCAAAAAAATACAAAAAAGAAAAATTTATTCAGCTCAAATAAAACAGCTGTTTACAGATTGGACAGAGAGACAAACAAAGACACACATGCAAGACAATTTGCTTATAAAATCAGAGTGCATTCAAATATATTTTTGTCCAAATTCAATCATAATAATTTTTATAATTTTTTAAGTTTATAATTATAAAAAGACTAGTCAGATTTTTTTTTAAACAGGTGAATTAGCAGAGATCTCTTATAAGAAGAATTTGAAAAAAATAAAACCTTTTATCTAATTTTGGGCCAGTCGTGTCTGGTTCATGATAAATCTTAGGTGGAGAATCTGCCTAAGTAATGGGTCTAAGTAATGGTGGGTTAGGAACATAAGTCCAATACTCCCATTATAAACAACCCTTTCTTTAAGATTTTTTAGCATCTGAATTTCAAAAGGGAAGTGAGAAACAATCTCATTATGATCATTTCACTGAGTTCCAACTGGGAAGCAAGTGGGGGTGCCAAAAATTTCTCCTTTTGCAGCTGCTTGTTCCTTTAAAATCTCTAAGTTTCTAGATAGAACTATATGGAATGTTCTTTTGATAGGGTTCTGCTCCTGCCTAGGTGTCTCTGCTGGGAGCTCTTTTGTTTCCTCTGCATCTGAGTCAGGGGCTGTTGACTATAAGCTCTGCAAAGGACTTAAAACTGAACGAACAAGGTTCAAGTTGAGAATGTCTCAGGGGAAATGACTTTTCCTGTTCTGTATACCTTTTTAAGATTTTTTTCCAACTCTTTCCCAATTGTCAATATCTACAGTGCCTGCCCAAGGAAAAGATGAATTATATTTGGTTACCTCTTATAATAACATTTTTCTTAGGTCTTTTTTTTGGCATATGAGTGCCAGAGCATTTAAGCAAACTTTGGGGCAGCTTTATGTATCTTTACTCTTCAGTTGAAAATTTTTGGCCCATTTTACTCCTGGATAAAAATGGCTTGTTCACAGTGGAAAGATTTAACCCTATTTTTTGTGGAATGCTTCTCATCTCTCATTTCTCCAGGCATCCCTGGTGAAGTTTTCATCCTGTGAAGGCCTGCTCCATCTCCCACACTTTCTACTCTAGGTAGACTTACTTGTTCAGGCTGAAAATTTCCAGTCCAAGGACTATCTGTCCCTGTTTGGGCACCAGTTATCGGGTTAGTAATATCCCTTAGTTATTGTGGGCTGATCAGGTCTGCAATCTCCCAAATGAGAAGGTAAAGACTAAATAAAAACAGGCAGCTGGGATGATCTCAGGGCTCCAGGAGGATCAAAGCCCTCACATAGTTCTAGATTCTCTCAGGGCTAAGACCAAGACTTTCTGGGTGGCCCATATTTATTTGGTTACCAGAAGAAGGGAGGGGAGTACTTAAGAAGGGTAGAATCACTCAAGGACTTCTCCAAGTAAGGTATTAAATTAATCCTTGATAAGGATTAAGTTAATCCACCTAGGAGTGAGATGCTTGAGGTTATGGTCTTTATCAAGTTGAGATCAGGTCCAGGTGTCTTTGGCTGTGATCTTATCTTGTCCTTTGAGGCTTTCCGATGTAATTCACCATTATAGGCTTTAGTAGGGATTAATGACTCATAGAAGTTCACTTACTATGAGTCTGTTGCCCACTTCCAGACAAGCGGCCTAGGCTTTGGACAGATTAACAGATAAACATAAAAAAGCCAGTTGGTGAATTTAAATCCTGCTTAGGGCTGCTTTGTAGTGGTCTCCATCAGTACCTTGTGTTTGTTTTTGTTTGGTTGTTACCCAGATCTTTAGGTGAAGCATTGGGATGTTTTAACCTAATGAGTTTAGATGAGGGCATAGGCCTAATGGTTTGAGTCAGGACAGAAATTCAGCTTGCTTTTTCAAATCATCTTCTTCCCTTACACTACCATTCATCAGTTGGGACATACAGGTTGTTTCTTTTTTTGGCTTAATGCAACCTTCCCTTTTGTTCCCCCGCTTCCTTTCCCTTCTCTTAAGACTCACTCATATGTGAATTCACTTTGAAGCAGAAAATGACTGTTGGAAAAGTCATGCCCAGTTTTTTCAGTGGTTCTGGAAGAGTAATTGGAAAGAATCTTAGGCCAGTGTGAGAGCAGTAGCACATGGTGGTCCTGCTGCTGCTGGGCTTGCTGTGTAGCAATCCTCAGTAGAGGCCCAAAGTCTTCAGGGAAAAGGTGGTTCTTAGGGCACAGGTAGGGCAAATGAATCTAGTCTCTCTGCAGAGCAAGTGTTTCCCTCTAAGGGATTCTGGCTTTTGTTTAAATCCAGAAGATAACAGTTCCTTGTCTTTCTACCTGGGATGTGTCAGTAACTTGGAGCAGGTTCTCCTTGGGTATTAGCACCTTGGTAAGTCCCATCAGTACTACTATGATTGCCATTTTACAAAGACAAAAGTGAGGCACATAACTTTCATTGTTTGACAAAGGTCTTCAGCTGCTAAGTAGAGATGGTGTGTAAAGCCAAGTTTATCTGACTTTGAAGAGGCCTTTCTTGTTTTATGAGATGTACCACATGTTCTCTTATCTAGATGCCCCTACCACAAAGCCTTGTGCACTCATTGAAGGTGATTGGATTGGGGATCCTTATATCTGACTTGCTGTTAGGAGGCAGGATCTGATGGGGTGTGTGTGGGTGAACTGGAAAGGTTTATCTTCTTCCTTGCTCTTCCCCCCGTCTGCTTCCTGACTGCCAGTAGGTAAGCAGCTTTTCCTCTGAGCCCCTCATCAATGCTGTCCTGGAACTGACCAGAATAAACTTCTCTTGCTTTAAGTTTTGGTTGTCAGGCATTGTGTCTTGGCCACGAGCAAAGTGGCAGACCACTTCATTTCCTGGGGGCCTCCTATTCTCATCTTTGACTTTTGTGGTGACTAAGTAGGACTGGACCTGTTCCATAGAAGTGTATTAAAATACAGAGATGTGCTTCTCAAAAATGCTAAAGTTAGATGTATTGCATGTTTTTGTATTTACATACATTTCTGTTAGACTTATTTAGTGTTTGCTCTATTACATTGATGAAAGTGTAATTACAATTTCAAATTAACAATTATAAAATTCATCGTATTTAAATGTAGAAAATGGCAGGATTGTCCCATGATTATTTTACAGCTACAGCATCCTGAACTCCTTGTATGTGTCACACTGTGCTTAGGTGCTTTAAAACTTCATTTTATTTGCTTCTCAAAAATGCTAAAGGAGGGGGATTGTTATCCTTATTTTATAGAGGAAAAAGCTGAGGCTGAGAGAAGTTAATTTCCCCAAGGCTTCAAAGTTACTGTGTAATCAAGAATATTAAGTTCTTCAAAAAATTTCATTCTTTTTCATAATTTGGCAGACACTGCAGAGCACCTGACCATGTTGGGGACTGGAGAAAAGTCTCCACCTCCGTCCACCACCACCCAGTGAGCGTGCGCACAGTCACCTGCAGCCTCTGTGCTACCATGAGTGTAGGCGTTATAATAAATGGCACGGAGAGGCTGCAGCCTCCCAGTGCGGGAGGGGTAGTGAAGTCTTCCCTACTTGCATCCACTACAGCTTTCCAAAACCATACAAGTTTTACTTTTATTAAACATGTTGGTATAAGGGAAATCATGGAGAACCAACAGAGAAAATCCATGTAAAAGGGACTCCTTACTAGTAGAATAAGTTAAACCATCTCTCTCAGCTAATGAAGTTCACTGGGAATATGTAATTTAGTGTTCAGATTGATTGGGGCACAGCTTTCACAAACAGGTCAGTTGCATTATTAGTAAACACTTGTTTCTACCTTTATGAGATTCAGCTATATTAGGAACTCTTTAAAATAATCAGTATTATACTTTGGTTTCTTTTCAGATTGCATAAATCTTTTGCTGTTTTAAAAATAATCAGTATTTTTTATTAAATGACAGTATTCATTGGAGTTACTCAACCGTCTAATTGTTTTAGAGATTATGAAGTAGTATAACTCTTTCTTAAAAGTTTTTCAAAATTCTCCTTTTTTTTTTTTTTTTTTAACAGAATCTACCATGTTGATGATATTCCTTCTGGATCAGTGGATGGGGTGCCTGATTATAGTAAAGCCATTCAAGTAGGTAATTTTGTTTTTGCCAGAAAATGTTAATATCTGTACATTTGAAAATAATTTTATTTTGAGACCTGAAAAAGAATTTATTTCTTGTGAATAGGATACTAGTTTAGCAATTCTTTAAATTTTTTTCTATTCTGAAAAATACTCATTTTTAAATCTTAGAAAATCTCAAACTAAATAAAGGTGATAAGTAATCAGTAGGATACTACTTAGAAAACTTGTTACCTAAAAATATTGGGGACCTAGTTCCTCCTCCCTTTCCTGTCTCTTCCCTCTGAGTAGTTATCTATTTGTTGGCTACTCAACAGATCCACTGGCTATAGGTTGGTGTGCCGTCTCTGGCATATTAATGAATATTCTTATTTTTATAGATAACATGCAACTACAGTGTCTTGAACCCTTTGTGTGTGTATGTCAGATTGTGCCTGTGTACTTTAAAACTTCATTTATTTGCTTCATTTATTCTCTGAAGCAAATAAAAAAGCAAACGTAACTGCTAGTATTTTAGTAAGCTTTTGGGATGCTTTTTCTCACAGTGTTTAAAATAGTACCTGTTTTTGATAAAGCTCTTTCATATCCAGTTTCTTATCTGATACTCATAATCCCCACAAGTCAGCCCGGTGTCTCCTTTCTACCTCACTGATCAGAAAACAGAGGCTAGTTCACTAATGAACTTCAGGTTCTAAAACAGTTCATTAAGTAGCAAGGCAAGGACTCAGGTTTACATCTTTTCATTGAAGATCTAGTGAGCTCTCTGCTAGAATATGCAGGAGTCCCTATGGTCATCTCCTGTCTGTCCATTTGCTCAGTAGGAGTTCATGCATGTCTTTGTTGTGTCAGACAGTGGAGTAAGAAGCCTTTTCTCCCATTAGCAAATGTTTAAGAAATTTAAATATGATTCATCATCAACTTTTTCCTCTATCCTCACATAAAATCTGCTCCATCTTAAAAATGATAGCTGAAGTCTCCATTGTTAACTGCATATATTCTTCTGTCAACTGCCTTTATCCCTTCAGAGCTAAGCCTCCTGAAAGAACATTCTGTATTCATCTTCTTCCCCTCACCATTCATTCCGTTTTTACTACATTGCATTCTGGTTTCCAATTCCCTTGACTTGCCATATCTGGTAGGAATTTTTCTTTATATTATTTGCTCTATATATGACATCAATATTTTTAACTGTACTTTTCTGCCTGGCTCTACCTAGTTGGGCTTTCTGTCTTCGTCTTCCTAGTCCAGGGTGCATCTCCACATCTCTGATTGTGATGGTCTCAGGTCCAGTCCTAGGCCATTTGCCTAATGCTCTTATTGAACTCTACTCCTTTAACTGTGTGCTGGTGACTCTGATGCCTGTCTTTCCAATGGTGAGGTTTTCTAATTTCAGAGTGATATATTTCTTGCTGTCTGGATAGCAAGAGAATAGATGGCTCCAAAGCATCCCAAATATAACCTCTCAGATACTGAACTCATTTTGCTTCCATATATATTATGATTGTATCTGTTCAAAAATAGTGAATCACTAAGTCCTGCTGGTTCTGTCTTCTACATGTCTCAAGATTGGCCTACCATCCCATCTCTACATCAGTTCAGTACCATCAATTGCTACCTACGTCACTGCAGTGACTTCCCATCCAGAACTCAACAGAACTTTTTGTGACAATGGAAATATTTCATATCTCTGATGTTTGGTGCAATAGCCACTAGCCACGTGTGGTCACTGAGCGCTGAGGAACTGTATTTTCAATTTTATTTTACCTTAATTACTTGAAAATTATATTTCCATAGTGCCCTGTGAAGAGTGGATGTGATATTGAATGGCACGGCACAGTCCATTTACTTGATCTTCCCCACTGCTACAATGCCAGCCCAATTTTCACACTGCCAGCCAGTGCGTTCTTTATAAAATGTTATCATGTCACAGATGGTCCCGTCCCCTTATAAGTATTAACCTCCATAACATTCTTGTAGTTTCTCAGAGTACAGACACCCACAGCCTCTCTTCTCTCTGCCCACATGTCTTCCCCTGTACATTCCTCAGGTAGCAGCTGTACTAAATAAAATCACTTAGTTTCCTGATACTTTTGATTTTAAAAACATTTTATTTTGAAATAATTATAAATTCATCAGAAGTTATAAAAATAGTCTCTTTACTCAGCTTCCCTCAGTGGTGACATCTTATATAAATGTAGTATTATATGAAAACCAGAATTTACATTAATGTTTTTTGGGTAAATGACAGCCTTATTCCTTATTCAGCGTCTACTGTTCGCATTTACTAGTGTGTGCATAGTTTTATGTAATGTTACCATCATACAGGAACTTTCTGCATGCCACTTCATTTTCTCACCTGCTTGCCAGCACCAGCCCTATCCCCGGACAACCACAAATCTGTTCTCTGGCTGCTTAGTTTTGTCACTTTGAGGCAGTTTAAGGAATAGAATCGTCAGAAACCAAGCACGATGCCTTAGGGAACCATCAGGTGGTGGCAGAGCCTCAGATTTCACTCTTCTCAGCATGCACCGGTCCTTCTGCCCTTGGTTCATCTTTCAGAACTAAGCTCTTAGAGTTCTGTCTGTTTCTGTGTGAGTTCAGTGCCTCATGCTGTGTTCTCCTAACTCCTGTTCGTACTGCTTTTATTTCTTAAATAATATTCTTTTCATTAGGTGTCTTCCCTAGTATACTTCTGAGTAACACCCAAGGGTAAATATTTTTTCTGAGTATCTCTAATACTTAGTTCTGTGCCTGGCATGTAGTAAGTGCTCATTAATTAAGTTTCTGTTAATAAATATATTCTTGACTTCTCCTCTCATGTATTTTAGGGCACAAGAGATCCAATTTGTGCAATAACTGCATCTGATAAGACATTGATTGTGGTAAGTTGTAAAAAACTTATTTTTGGAATAATAATTGTTTGAATTATAAAATCTAGGGTAAAGCAGTGAGTTTTGAGTTTGATTATCATCTTGTAACCACCCCAAGTTTTACTAAATCTAATATAAAAATTGAGAAAATTTTAAACCTTGCCTTACAAATTCTTCACCATTTGCAGAACGTAGCTGTTGATAAAAGCAGTAAAACCGTGGCCAGATAAGAAGATAAAGTAAACACATTTAGTGTTTGACACTAAGTTGAAACAACCCTCGATAGCGTTAAAGGGTGTAGGACAGATTGCATGGTGGCAGGAGGACCTAGAATGATTTTTTCCTGATATTTTGTATTGAAAAATTGCTTTGGCTCAGCTACTTTCATAAGACTTAGAATGAAGAGGTGATATGTTTACTAACCATAAAATAAGGAAGACCTTGGCAAATTTCTGTTGAGTCTGTCAAATAGAATCAACGGTGTAAGCCAGGCATGGTGGTGCATGCCTGTAATCCTAGCACTTGGGAGGCTGAGGCAGGAGGACTGTTGTGAGTTTGAGACCAGCCGGGGCTACAAAGTGAGCTCAAGGCCTGCCTGAACTGTATAGCAAGACCCTATCTCAAAAAGAAAAAAAAAGAATCAATGGTATAGTGTGTTTTCCTGAGCTCTGGAATTTGAAAATGATAATTTTAGAAATATATGTTTACTTTAATACAGTAATGTTGGTGGCACTGCATTTGAATTATGTAAACAGAGGCCTCATACTACATATTTCCACAGTTCCAGTTATATTCTCTCACTATTGGCCGATTTTATAGGAGGAAAACTCTTCAGAGCAGTGCACTCTTTAGCATTTCCACCTTTCTGAAAGGCCCCCTGAGAACCCTGCGCTGGCCTGTTAGAAGACAGGAGGCACGCCCATTGCCAGGCACGGGTCGGGGGGCTTCGACACTGCAGCTCTTTCCTGTCTGTTGTACTTGTTGCTGACCTGCCAGCCTTGTTGTTTGCCTAGAGTTGCATAGGAATGTGTATTGTTTTAGTTTTCAAACGTATTTAAACTAATACACAAGGTGTCACTGCTCCCCGATCATCTTTTCGCTTCCCAGAAGCTAGTGTCAGATTGCTGAGTACAGGATAAACATTTAGCCTTTTAGTTATAGTTATTTCATTTTTTAAAAATTAATTTTAATGGTATACTTTTGATATACATACACTTTCATCATAGGGAAAGTTACAGCTGTTTCATACCATGGTCTTCTGTTGATTTTTCACTTGAAATTTAATTCAACAAGTGCTTTGTATTTTAGCTTTTAACATACCTCCAATATTAAACTAGACAACTGTAAACAACCATATATATATATATATTTTTTCCTTGTAAGAATATGTGTATTACTAAAGAGCTAGGATTCTGTCTTTTTTTCTTCAGTACTACATGAAAATTATAGTTACTTCAAGTGCTTTAAAAAGGTAACATAATTTACTATGAGAGCTGGGAACTTGCTAGGACAGCATCACTTTGGTTTTAAAACAAATGTGTGGATATACTGTGAGACCTGTAGTTGTAGTTTGATAATATTATGGTAAATATGCTTTAGTAATCAAATGTAATTTTCATAGGGTCGTGAGTCTGGCACCATTCAGAGATACAGTCTTCCTAATGTTGGATTGATCCAAAAGTATTCTTTTAGTTGTCGAGCCTACCAGTTATCCTTGAATTGCAACTCTAGGTAAGCCTGAAAGCTCTTCTCATGGGGTGGTAGAGTTATTGATTGAGAGGTTTGGATTCGTGTAATAATTGTGAAGGTAGATGTATTTTTATGAACTTGTCGTAAAGCTCAGTGTGGTTTTACTATACTGTGTTTGGTCTTTCTCTACTAGGCGTATGAAAGTATTAAGACTTTTATATTTTCATAGTAGTTGATTTAATCTCTTTGGATATGTTTTCCTCATGAGGCAGCAAAATGAGGAATAGGCTATATTTTCTGTTAAATTTATTTAAAAATTTAAAGTTGTTTCTACCATATTCCAAGTTTATAATAAACCAATATTGAAGAATGGTGATAGATAATTATACTCATGACACTGATAATAATTTTACAATTCTCCCTTCCCTGATTGCATCATTTCTAGCCGTCTTGCCATCATAGACATCTCAGGAGTTCTGACTTTCTTTGACTTGGATGCTCGGATAACAGACAGTACAGGACAGCAAGTAACTGGGCAGCTGTTAAACCTGGAGCGGAAGGATGTCTGGGATATGAGGTGGGCCAAGGACAACCCTGATCTCTTCGCAATGATGGAGAAGACAAGAATGTATGTTTTCAGAAACTTGGATCCTGAGGTAAAAACAGGAAATGAGCAGTAAATATTCACAAAGACTGAGCCAAGTAGCAAAACCTGGATGTATCCCCTTTGCTTCTTTAAGAGATTGGCTGCATAAATTTGTGAAAGGAAATGGAAACATTTCTATGGAGTTTTAAAATATTTGGTCTCAAGTGGGAATAATACTCATCTTTTAAGTATTCTTTGCTTTCCCTCAAAGGTACTCTCTGTTCTTTTTGAAGTATGGAGTCATGGTCACTAGGTAGTCTTTTTTTTCTTTTCTTATCAAAGTTCCAAGAAAACAAAAGAAAATCAGTAATCTTATTTACCAAAATTTCTTAAGGGAATCTAACGAAAGCTGTGGTTTTGAAATTGCCTTTTCCTTTCATTTGCCCCTGCCTGTGCCTACTTTATTTGGTACTTGGCTTGTCTTACACATACATCTATCATACGACTTACTAATCCATGTTCTTTCTTCATTCAGACATTCTTAAAATGGGCTAGTATGGACTGTGATTAGTCTTCTCTCTCAGGTATCAGGAAGCCTCTTTCTCATAAGGTTACATTTTTATTTATTTATTTTTATTTTGTCTTGTTTGGTTTTGTTTTGTTTTTTGGTACTGGGGGTTAAACTCAGGACCTTGCACTGACAGTTGAGCTATACCCCAGCCCTATTTTTGTCTTTTTTTGAGACAAGGTTTCACTATGCAATTCAAGCAGGCCTTAAACTCACTTTTTAGCCCAAGCTGGCCTCAAACTCATAGTGATCCTCCTGCCTCAGCCTCCTGAGTACTGGGATTATAAACATGCACTACTATGCCCGGCTCATTTTTATTTTTTACTTTTGGTTCACATTAGTTAATTTTTATGCTCTGGATTTTTTTTGTTATTCCATTTATCTATTCTAGACCAACTGTTAGCTCTTGTGTTTACAAAATACACAATAATTTGAGTAGCAATCTAATCAAGAAGATAAATCTTTTGAACTATGTTCTAATTAATAATTGGGATTTTCAGTTTGGAATTTTCTGTTGTACTCCACTAGTGCAAATAATAGGTTTATGTCTAATTTTTATTTGTTTGAACCTGGAACCTCCTTGGGGAGAAGTGGCATGCTTAAGTTCCTAAGCTGCCAAAAAATGTTCTATAGTAATTGTTTAACGGTAAACTGCTTGTCACTTTAATGTCCAAATTATTTTTACATTTTCTCACTTGAGCCCTACTTAGGAATTTTGGGTTGGCAAATAGCCTGATGTAAACTGCTCAAAAGCTGTTAAAACTTTAAAGACTCATAGGATCTCTGCAATTTTTAGACCTTGAGAAATGGTTCAAAGAAAGACATTCATGTTGCTGCATTTGACCTGCAAACATGGGCTTCCTTCAGGGTGCCCAGGGAAATTTGACCCTTGCCACAAAATAAGTGAGGAAGTTGGAAGGCACCCATAGGATAACCTTAGCGTGGGAGCAGAATCTAGTTTGAATATTAGTATCCCCTCTCCATCCTCGCCCCACTCACCCTGTGCGAGCTGTGTGCCCCACGAAGCAAATGTGGGTGATGGCTGGGGTCTCGTGAGTGTGCGCAGCACCAACTACAGTCTTGCTTGGTGGAAAGTGTTTCTTACATTGTTCTAACAGAACAGTCCTTATTTTTAAAACATGTTATTTTCTTTATTGGAGTTTGTTTTCTGATTGGCATATAGTTTAAATTCTGTTAGAGTTATAGCTTGATAGATTTTTTTTTTTACAACCTCCCTACTGTCTAGATTTCTTTATAAACCATGTTCTGTTCTTTTCACCCATGGAGACTGGCCTGCTGTGGTCCCTGCTTGTTCAGCTACTGTGCTAACCATTCCTCTAGTTGTTACTGTAAGAATACCTGCTTCAAAACAGAAGCTACTGGATCTATAAAACTACAGATTCTTTTAGGACCTAGTCATCTGCGTTCATGGAATGAGCTACTGTTTGACAGTTAATAATAATGTATTTTGTCTCATACTAGATGAGATTGTCATTTTCACACCACAGTGTGGCTGATTCGGATTTGTTAGGCGTGAGCAGGGAGTCTGTTCTGTGTGAGGTTTGCTTGTAGTTGCATTATCAGTATTGCCTTGAGTTCATACAGTTTTCAGAATGGTTTTCAAGCTGCTTAGTGAAGGTACCAGTGAATCTTAGAATAGTGTATAGTAGTACAGCTTTAGACAGTTTCTTGATAAAAATAAATATCTTGTATAGTACTGAGGTGAGTGTACCCTGCCTTGTAGACCAGTGGTCTGAAACTTCATATTCAATTAAATATCTTAGAATTTTGGGAAAATTGGTTAAAATAATTGAAGCAGAAGTTGAATTTTTAAAATGTGAGTTATGCAAATATTTGTGCATATTTACCATATTTACCTATATGCCAATAATCATAGATTATTTTGGAAACTCTTAGATTTTGATCTTTGTTTCCACCTTTACTTTTCTCCCTTTCTGTGTTTTCTATCCACAGATTATCTTTTCACTGCCTTGCTTTGTTACATTATCTAGCCAAAAATAAAATATTTTTCTATTGGTTAACGTTTATACAAATATATTTTATTTACATATGGTATCAAAATGAAGTACACAAAATACTTCCGTAGTGTATAAGAAATGCTTCATTACATGTGTCTTCTTTTTAACTGGTGTGTTCTGATTCTTTATGTGTATTTTTTGCTCATAAAAGCATATTATTCTGTTTTATACAATACAACCTGAAGGATCTTATCCAGTGGTCTTATACTTTGAGTATTTTAACCAACAACTTATGGTTTTTAGTAGAAAACAAACTTTTGAAAACCTGTTAGATGCACCTATTAGCATATGACTCAGTACTAAAGTAACAGACATATATAATAGACTCATGTCTTTACATATAGGCAAATAAAATCTAATGTAGGGAATCTGTCAGTGACACTCTTTGGCTCATGTTACCAAGAACAGACTTTTCAATTTGGTATGCACTTTCTGTGTTAGACCTACTTAGATACAACTATAATGCTTATCAGCTTTACTAAGAATCAAGGTTATAATGTCGTCATGTAAGAGAATGTTCGTAGCTTTTAGATAAATGGCCTGAAGATTTTAGGGGTTGAAATGTCATGATATATATAATTTATAACCCATTAGCCACAAAATTAAATGAAGCATATTTAACAAAATGTTGACCATTTTTTAGGTAATATGTGTGTGGTACCAATGTCATTCTGTCTAGTTTTTAATATGAAAATTTTGATATAAAATTTAAAACCAGGATTTCTTAAAGCAGGAGACATTTTGAGAGATGAAATATAACACTTGTTTTTGTTTTTAAGGAACCCATTCAGACCTCTGGATATATTTGTAACTTTGAGGATTTAGAAATTAAATCTGTTCTTTTGGATGAGATATTAAAGGTAATTATCTTAGTTACTTCCTCGCTGCTGAGACAAAATACCTGACACCCACAAGTTAAAGGAAGAAAGGTTTATTTTAGCTCCTACCTTGTAGAGGTTTCAGTCCATGGTGGGCTGGCTCCAAGGCAGGGTGGCATGGCAGAGGGGCGTTGCAGAGAAGAAACAGTCCATGGCAGGGCAGGGGGCATTGCACAGCAGACAAGAGGCATCAGAAGACAAGCAGCAGCAACAGAAACAGCAGCAACAAGTGATGACGGACCAGTCAGTGGACTAATTTAGTTATCACACACCCTTAATCTGTATTCACACATCCTAGGTAGAGCTAGCTTCAGAAAGCCCCCCTATGAGTGCATGAGGCTTTAGGAGACATCTAGCTACAAGTCATAATGGTAATTCTTAAAAAACAGTTATATTTCTGTAGTCAGCTTGACTGGACTTGATCTGGGGACCAGGCAGTGTAGTGTTCCAGTTGGTTTGTGCACCCAGAGGTTGGACAGCTCTTGGGTCCATTCTTGCTGTGACTTGTGCTGTGGTTCCTGTGGGTAGGGCCTCTGTGGTTTGAAGCTCTGGCTGGCCCTGAAGGAAGGAGCACCAGGCCTTCTTTTCACCCTGTCCTGAATGGAGAAGATTTAACTTATGCTATCAGCAGTCCAACACCAGGATGGAGCCTGTGTCTGTGGTATCCTCGGGCAATGAGGGCGGACCATGTAGAGACCGGGTGCCCACAGTGCAACCCCAAACTGCTGCCAACACTGCAGTTAAACCTGAATGCGCAGCTGCTGCAGGAGTGCTGGGCACCTTGGCGTATGTGCCCATAGAGGGGCTCTTTCGCCCACTGAAGCACGTGGGCTGCCCTGGGGTGATATGCGCTGTCTGATGGTTGCTTGGCTCTTCTCTGTATGGAGAGCACTTTAAAGAGTGAAGAGGAAAATCTTGTCCTTGCTTTAGGCATCTAAGTTGTAAGACAGTGGAGCTTGTCTTTTTTTCAGTTTTCTTTTTGTGTTTTTTTTTTTTTTTGAGATAGGGTCTTCCTCTCTAGCTCAGGTTAGTCTTGAATTCACTCTGTAGCCCAGGTTGACTTCAAACTTGTGGTGATCCTCCTGCCTCAGCCTCCCATGTGTTGGGGTTACAGGTGTGTGCCACCATGCCCAGCAAGGAGCTCGTCTTGTGGCCTGTTCTCTCATGTACAGTAATGTCAAAGGGTGTCCCCTTTTCCTCACACATCCAGGAAAGTAAGCCTTCATTTGTCATGTCCCCTTTCTGAAAGGATTTAGGTTGTGAACCCTTAAATGTACTTTTAAAAACAAAGCCATAGGTGGGTTGAATTTAATGAAGGTGGCCGCAAGGTCACAGCTGGCTTTGGGTGTTAATGCTTTGTCAGAGTGAGCTGCTTGGGTCTCCAGTATCCAGGAGGGCCTGCTATACTGGTGATTCTCACAAAATGTTTGTTACATTGATATTTCAAAATGAATAATGACTTTATTGCTTCTAAAAGGTAGTAAATAGTTATATAGGCTTCAGGCATACAGAAAAGTGCTGAAAACAAAGTGAAAATAAAAACACCCAAAAATCTCACCATGTAGGTATTTTAGTCATTAGCTTTAGATAAACCTCAGAAAATCATTCATATAGCAAACTGTATATGAAAGACAGATTTGTAGATCAGATGAATAAAAGTAACTTTATCAAATTGTCATCTTTGTACAATCTATTTTTAATGTTAAGTTTAATTTTTTTTTTTTTCTTTTTGGTACCGGAATGGAACTCAGGACCTTACACTTGCCAGGCAGGTGCTTGTGCTGCTGAACTATATCCTCAGCATGTTTAATTTTAATTAAATAGTCTAAACATCAATTTACAGTGGAAAGCACTTCTCTAAAGACTGACTTCTAGACAATTTTTTCACCACAATGCCATTTTCCTCGTTTAAGGACAAAAGTTTGAAAAACTAAGTGTTATCACTTTGAAATACATTTTAACTTTTAGTAGTATTTGCTTTTTACTCTACAAGATATCATTCTTATATTTTCTCCCTCCTGCTTTTTTTGGCTAACCATATCATTATTTTTACATTGTCAAGATTTAAGACATTTTAATTTTAGTTCTTATTTTTTGTCTTTTTGAGGCAGGGTTTCACTATGCAGTTCAGGCTGGCCTTGAACTCACTTTGTAGGTCAGGCTGGCCCTGAAGTTGCAGCAATCCTCTTGCCTCAGCCTCCCACGTGCTGAGGTTACAGGTGTGTGCCACCATGCCTGGCCTCATTTTAATATTGTTTTCTAACTCTTAATTTTCAGTTTGTTAGTATTTTAAAAAAAATATTGCTGGGATTGAGCCCAGGACCACATAGATGCTAGGCAAGTGTTCTACCACCCAGCTATACCTTGCCCTTAGTTGTTTAGTCTTACATGAAGTGGATTCAAAGCTATTATCAGTCTTTTTACTGCATTTTCCCTATGTATGTGTCTTTAATTTGATTCTTCTTCTAGTTGGCTGGATTTCATCATCAGGAGTATTTTTAAAGAACGGCTAATGGTTGCTGAGTGTTTGAAAATGCCTATGGCCTTGCTGCTGTAACTAATGGTACTGACTTGATAAGTGTTTTAGGAAATACACATTTACATTGGTTAACTGTAGTCTGGGATTCTTGATGCACCCACAGGGTTCAGTTTATTGAGAAGGGGTCAGAGTGAGTGGAGAGTTAAGCTGTGACAGAAACTGACTTCTCTGTGATGGTTTGTTATCTGCCTGACTTATCACGTTACTAAAGAAAAGAATCTGTTATGCTTCTCTCTGGGGTCTTAGTGGCTCAGGAAATGTTTAGCTGGACTGTGGATTCCTTCAAGCGTATGGTTTTAGGAAATGACATGAAATTGGGTGTAACCTCACATATCTGTAATTACAGCATTCAGGGAGGTGGAGCAGGCGAATTCCAATTTCAAGTTCACCTGGGCAACTTAGTGAAACCTGGTTTCAAAATTTACAAAAAAAAATCAAAAAAGAGACGGAGATGTACCTCAGAGTTAGAACACCCCTGGGCTTAAGCCCCAGTCCAGAGAGAGAGAGAGAGAGAGAGAGAGAGAGAGAGAGAGAGAGAGAGAGAGAGAGAGGGACAAAACAAGAACAAGAAATTTTTTGGAAGACTAGAGAAGAAATAGAAAAGGAAAAAAGAAGGAGTTGATATTTACCGAAGTGCCTTCATATGAGGCATCCTGTGTCTCTTGTCACTATGACCGGCCTGGTGGGTATCCACATATCTTCCTTTGCGATGTATAAAATGATTTACTCAGAGTTCATCTGTGCATTGGTTGAGCACATTTTAACTGAGAGTCAATAAAACACAGTTCCTGGGCCTGCATAGAGAAACTAGGGAGACAGACCAGTAATGCGGCACCCGGGGCAGGTGTGGGGTGCCCTGATTCAGTTAGGTGTCGTCACTTAAAGCCCTCCGAGACTGGAGTAGTGTGCTTGGCACAGCTGGGCATTGTGCTCCTGTCAGACGTGTTCTCTCTCAGTCCTCATAGCTCTAGGAAGCAGTTTGATGATTTCCTCCACTTTGTCAGGTGAGGAATCTGGGGCCTGGAGGAAGTTATGTCACTCTCTCCTTATTATCTTCCTTATCCTCTTGCTAGCAATGGCAGAGGCAAGATTAGGCTCCAAGCTGTGCGGCTTCAAAGCTGCTGGGTGCAGTTGGTAGCACTGGCAGAAATGAGGCTTGGGGTGTGGGACAGGGTGGGCTACTAAGGGACTTTGTGCTTCCTCCTGGCATCAGCGGGGAGGAAGGCTGGGGAATGAAGTTGGAGAAGGTGGCGCTGGCTTCAGGGCACGCTGTCAGGGCACACTGCAGGGGAGGTAGGCGGTTCACCTCGCCAGTGAGCAGTGGAGTCAGAGTTAGAGCAGGTCTCCTCGAATCCAGCCTCACACCCTTCCACACTAGTTCCTCTTCTGCACGCAGGCGTCCCCTAAGGTTCCATGCTTTGAGCTCCAGTGCTGTTGCTGCAGGGTGAGGAGGGGTACTCTGGCTCCGTTTAGCTTTGTGGGGCACTTTGCTCCCTGGGTCTGGCCTCTGCTGTTTTACGCGCGGGCTCTACTTGCTTTGGTGCTTTCCTCATTACTTGTGGTGTGGAGAGATGGGTGAGTTGATTGTAACTGCTTGTTTCCTTTCTTTGCTCATTTATCTGGCTTTTTCCTCAAAGACAGTGTTTTAGTCAGCCTGCTGCATTATGACCAAACGGTAGTGAGGACAGGGCCCCTTTTCTTTCCTCTTTTTGCTGCCTATCAGAGCAGCTGCCCCTGGCTGAGAAGGTGAAGGTGAAGGAGCGAGGGAGTGAGGCTGTGGTGCTGGGTTTTCTGGCGAGAAGGAGGGTGGCCCCAGGGAGGGGTGAGAGAGAAGCAGGTGTGTAGGGCTGGGAGGGACCCTTACACTCTGTGTGCTTCTGCCGCACAGCCTGATAGCTCACGAGAGATTTCAGTGTTTTCCTTAGCACTCAAGACCCAAGCGTGGGAGTTTCTTTTCTCCCAAGGTTTGCTCACAATATGATGCGGTTCTTTTTTGTTTTTTACTGTTTTTAATTGTAAAGAAAAGCAAAAAGCCTACTTTACAAGCAACTATTTGAATTCCTTTTTTTCATCTTTACTTTTAGGATCCAGAACATCCAAACAAGGATTACATACTTAACTTTGAGATTCGGTCCCTAAGAGATAGTCGAGCCTTGATTGAGAAGGTTGGGATTGAAGATGCATCTCAATTCATAGAGGACAATCCACACCCCAGACTTTGGTATAAAAACCCTCTTGACTTCCCCAAATGCCCGATTATTGCTTGTGAAGTTCCAGCTCTGTCGTCCTGGCTCCCACACTGACTTTCTGAGGGGAATGTGCTTGCATTCTTTTCTAATTCTTAAAATATGGAAATTCATTTTAGGTTTGAGAGTTCTCATTATAAGCACAACCTTATATGAAAACATACTGATGTGTGCAAAAATACTATGATTTACTAGAAACACTAAGCATAATAAGTCTGATTCAAGACTAGTTTATCAGTGATTTACAAAACCTTATTTTTTTTTTTTTTCTAAATAAAGGCGCCTGCTAGCTGAAGCAGCTCTTCAGAAACTGGACTTGTGCACTGCAGAGCAAGCATTTGTGCGCTGCAAAGATTACCAAGGCATCAAGTTCGTGAAGCGCCTGGGCAATCTTCAGAGTGAGGCCATGAAACAGGCTGAAGTTGTGGCGTATTTCGGCAGGTTTGAAGAGGCGGAAAGAATGTATCTTGATATGGACAGAAGGTAAGTTAGGAAAGCGCAGCATCTGTCCTGCCACCAGTTCAGATGGGAAGGTTCACCTAAGATATGGATGCCTGGTGGAGACCCCAAGCCATGGGAACATCTGACAGGCCTTCGATAGTGGCTCAGCTGCTCAGCAGCAGTCCATCTCTCTCTCGCTGCACATGCCCACAGCAATCCAGATGGACAGTCCTGCTGGCTCAGGATAGCGTGCCTGGACATCACCCCCATCGTCCCAGCATGATGTAAAGAAGTATTTTATTTAAGTCATTATTTTGCTAGATAAGTTGGAACATGAAATCAAAAGACAGGAAGTTGTTTTCCTGTTCTGGTGTCTCTGTGTTGCCATAATATAGTACCTGAGCCTGTGTAATTTATGAAGAATAGTTTATTTTTCACAGTTTTGGAGTCTGGGAAATCTAAGATCGAAGGCCACAAAAACCAGGTACAGTTTCTGATGAGAGGTCTGTTTATGTTTCCAAGATGGTGTTTTGAATTCTTTTTTTTTTTTTTTGGTTTTTCTCCGGTACCGGGAACCGAACTCACGACCTTGCGCTTGCCAGGCAGGCGCTTTTGCCGCTGAGCTAAATCCCCAGCCCCGGTGTTTTGAATTCTGCACCTTCACATGGCAGAAAGCAGAAGGGCAAAAAGGGCTGTACATTCTCTGGTGGTCTCTCTTATATAAAGGTTTTTGAGACAGGATCTTTCTTGGGGTTGTTATTTTTAAGTAGGGGGGTAGTGTTTTGCTGTGCAGTGCAGGCTGGCCTTGAACTCAATATGCAGCCCAGGCTGGCCTTGAACTCACAATGATCCCCCTGCCTCAGCCTCCCGAGTGCTGGGATTACAGGCGTGTGCCACTATGCCCAGCAAGATTGGGTCATGCTGTATGTTCCTGGCTGAAGCTCACTATGTAGCCCTGGCTGGCCTTGAAGTCCTCCTGCCTCAGTCTGCTGAGTGCTGGGATGAAGGCATGTACCACCAGACACAGTTAAACATGAATTTTGGAAGGGACACACTGCTACCTGGCTGGGACTAAGTTTCTAAAGAGTTTGAAGTTACCTTGTCTGTCTGTATTCTGGCTACCTAGAACAATACCTAGCACATAATAGGCACTTGATAAATATTTGTTGAACGGGTGAACAAATGATTGGATGCCATTATTTGTAGGGACCTTGCCATTGGGCTCCGGCTGAAGTTGGTGGATTGGTTTAGAGTACTCCATCTCCTGAAAACTGGATCTGGTGATGCAGACGACAGTCTCCTCGAGCAAGCACACAATGCCATTGGAGACTACTTCGCTGACCGCCAGAAGTGGTACAGAGCTGCTCTCCATGCCCCATCTACTTCCTCAGGGTGTCTGAACATTTTCCTAGGATGTGACACTGGGGGGATGGAGCCATCCTCCTCAGTCCTAAAGTTCACATAGCTCTGCTCTCACATTGGAGAGCAAGATCCTTGAAATTGTAGGATAAGCACTGTAAAACTTGGGAGTTTCAAACATAAAAGTTGCTTTAGATCTGGGCAGCTTTTGACTGTTTGAGATTACAATATATAGTTCTGTATTATTTGATTTGTTTATGACCAAAGTAAAAGAATATATTTGTTTATTCTGTTATTAGAGGCCATTTTCAGAAGTTACTGCTTTTAGTCTGAAATTTGCAGTTTGATCAGTACACTTACATATGTCAGTGGGAGTAGTACTGTGAATGTATTTGATTAAAACAATAGCTCATAAGAATATTCAAAGTCTGTTACAATTAGAATGTGCTATGTAGTTTTTTTTCTTTTTGTCTTTTTAAGTCAGGGTCTCACTATGCAGTTCAGGCTGCTGTGAGCTCACTTTGTAGCCCAGGCTGGTCTCAAACTTGCAACGATCCTTCTGCCTCAGTCTCCCAAGTGCTAGGATTACAGCCGTGCGCCACCACGCCTGGCTGTGTGCTATGTAATTTTAAAGATTTTTTTCCAATTTAATGGTACTGTATAATTGAAAAATGATGAAATAAGTAATATAAATAATAATTATTATAGTCATCATTATGATTTATGATTATGGTTATAATTATTACTATCTGGGGATTGAACTCAGGGCTTTACACACACTGGATAACTGGTCTACTAGTGAGCTATACTCCCACTTGGTACTAATAATTCAAATGAAGGAACTTTTTTGATGCAAGTACTTTATCAGAGATTCATTTTAGCTTTAAAAGTTTTTCTTTTTCTCTTTCTGTAGGTTGAATGCTGTACAATATTATGTACAAGGCCGTAACCAGGAACGCTTAGCTGAATGCTATTATATGTTAGAAGATTATGAGGGATTAGAGAATCTTGCCAGTTCACTGCCAGAAAACCACAAGTTGCTTCCAGTAGGTGTTGCACATTTTGGTTTTTGAAGTTGTTAGGTTACTTTATAAAAATTTTTTTTATATTATATCGGGAAATGACCTTAGGACTAGTCTAAAAAAATCAAGCTCTATTCACTTGAATGTTCCTTTCAGCATCTTGTAAGTAACTGTTGAATATTGTTAATGAGTTACATTTTATTTGTTTCTCTGCTGTGTAAATCACTGAGCTGTAATGATACTTGTAGAGTTGGCAGAACTCAAATGTAGGGTTGGGACACAGTGCACTTGTGAGTTGCACCTCAAAAATTGTGTCTGTGAGTTAACAGGTAAGTATACAATTCCGATCATTCAGTGTTCTTACTGTGAACTAGGGTAGGTATCCTTGAAGTAATTGCATTTTTACTCACTGCTATTGCAACACTGGTGTTATCTTGACCATGAAAGAAATTGAAGTTACTTAGAACTGTGAGTGTGGGAAATAGTATCAGTGATGGCGAATCTTTTAGAGCTTTCAGTGATAACAGACAGCCGCCAGCAGTACACAGGCCGTAGCTTCACCACCACTGATATAGCCTATGTTAGTGTTGTCTTTTAGGTGTGTTTGATGATGCAGGAAAAATTTTGCAGTCCGGGATCCAGAACAGTAATATTACTGAGTAAATAGTAAATAATTTTAACAGTAAAGATAACTAAGTAACTAAAGTAGTAAAGTTAGTACTATAAATTTAAGTTTTAGAGAAATTTCTAATAATGTGAGAAGATGCACAAATAGTTACATGAGAAGTGCACGGCACCAAACTGTATAGTATGACGGGACATACACAAACATGCACGTACATGTGTATGCATAGGACAAAGAAGTTAGAAAGTCACGTGGAATATTTAGAGAGGTCTCTTTGGGTTATTGAGAGTATGAGTAACTTTATTTTTTCATGCTTTGTAGTTTTTTTACTATTAAAATGTATTACTTTATAATCAGAAAAAATCATTTTTGAAAAGGTAGTTGGACACAAAATGTGCGTTTATATTTCCAAATATATTTTGGAAGGAGACAGGTAAGGAGACAAAAACTGGATAATGGCCTGTGCCAAAAGATACAAAAGATTGATTTTCTGAAATTGGAGAGGGCAGCCACCAAATAGGAAAGATGGGTGGCGTGAAGTGGTTCTCCCGCGTGCGCCGCCCCCAGGGCTGCTCTGCTGTGAGTCTCAATGGATGCTAAGGGTATTGCTGGTTTTATTTTGGTTTGCTTTGAGATGGGAGTTTTGCCTTGTTGCCCAGGCTGATCTCAAACTCGTAGACTTAAGTGATCCTCCCTCTTCAGCTTTGTTGCTAGCTGTGACCACAGACACACAGGCACAAAGACATGGGCTTTTCTTTACAGAAGTATTTGGAAACTCTGGGAAGGGGCTGTGCTGATGAGTGACACTGAGCACACTGCCAGTACCTCAGGGTCGTTTTTGTACCCACGCTCATGGACTGGTTCTGGAGCTTGGTGTTGCTTGCCCTCGCTGCTGTCCTGAGAGAAGAAAGGAGTTCAGAGTCTTCAGGGTCTGCCTAGAAATCAGGTCTGCTGCCAAGCCGGTGTACTGCTGGCTTTGTGGAAGGTGGTGCCTTAGCATCTGTTCTGATTTGTAGCCCCTGCTTCTGTCTGTTTAAAAGAAAGCCACTGTAACCACCAGCCAGTTTAACACTCCTTTGTCCCTGGGGCGCTTTCTAAGTTAAAATATAAATGATTTCCTTGGCCTGTGAAATCTGATAGGACTGTTTTATCCCCACAGGAAATAGCACAGATGTTTGTGAGAGTTGGAATGTGTGAACCAGCAGTGACTGCCTTTCTGAAATGTAACCAACCAAAAGCAGCTGTAGATACCTGTGTACATCTCAACCAAGTAAGGAATTGGAATTTATTGTCTGTGGAGTCTGTTGCCTTAGGAATTTATAAGTCAGTGCAAAATTGTAGTCACCAATCGTGGTCCTGTATCTCCCCTGGAAGGGTGGGAGGGCTTGAAGGGAGCTTCGTGAAAGGAGCCAGCCAGGTACTTGCACTTGGAGCTTGAGCGCTGAGCAAGGCTTGGAGTTTGTGCTCAGCCCTTGGATTGCTGCTAGGGTGGGGGATGTGACCCACTCCAAACCAGCTCTGTCAGGGAACATGAGCTAACCTGTGTTTTTGGTCTGGCAAGTTTCTGTCTGGAAGTCATTTCATAATTTTCTGTATTGCATTAGGGCTGGGTTTTATTTCCAAAGAAGGACCCATTAAGCTTGCCATTGCCTGAGGGAGGAATTCAGTTCCTTTATCAATATTTATTTTGGCAAGTCTGTTTTCCTTCTCCTGTATAGAAAATATGTATTTGATATTTTTAGGAGCTAAAGTTTAACTGAAGTTAAAGTGGGAATTATTGTAGAAACTGCTATCAGTGTTTTTAAAAATATTTTCCTTAAAGTATTTTATAATGCTTCATTTATCTTATAAAAATCATTTTTTAAATGTTAAACCAGATAGTATTTTCTTAGTCAAAATTGCATATTTTGTTTTATAAAAAAAAATGAAAAAGTAAATCTTTTTCTGGCTCATAGTATGGACAAAAATAGAATTACAAGATTAATGTGGTTGTAAACTTTGAAACTTTCTTTTTCAAATGCACTTGTTAAACCAGTCTTAGATCATTTAATCATCTGGCACATGTTTAGCTTATAGAATTTATGATTGCTCTGATTTTAAGTGATTTTAAAAAAATACCAGTTTTCTATTTTAAAGCACTGTATTGTTACCTGTTATAAATTTAAGGTCTTATTGTGTGAATTTTATGACATGTTAGTGTGAATACTTAGGTGAGTGAATGATAGGTTTTTTTCTCCTAGTGGAACAAAGCTGTTGAATTGGCTAAAAGTCATAGTATGAAAGAAATTGGATCGCTGTTAGCTAGGTATGCATCTCATTTACTGGAGAAGAATAAGACTCTTGATGCTGTAGAACTCTATCGGAAAGCCAGTTACTTTTTTGATGCTGCTAAACTGATGTTTAAGGTAATGTAGTAATCTTGGTGAGTATCTTTTTTTGTAATTATAATTTTTTTTTTTCATATATATGTTAGTTCTAAGCAGATTTTTCATTTTCTTTGGAAACATGTTTACTGTAGCAAAACCCTCTGGCTTTATTACTGCTATTAACATGTTATTTTGATATTACTTTTACTACCCAGGCTATTTATTAGCAATTTATTGACAACTAAACAATTATAAATTTGGCATTGAAATTAGTAAAAAATTAAAAAATTTGCTGGGATCACCAAGTACAAGTTTCCTTAACTGGGAATTAAATCTTTTTGATAATACAGTTCTGTACTGTACATATTTTTGAATATTACATGTTTTATAATACCATTTGGAAAGAATATAACAAGTACCATATTAATCTATGCACAACTTGTATTTTGTTATATCATTTAGAGTATCAAATTCCAGTTAATTTTGGAAATGATTATGTTTGTACAAATATAGATTTAGAAATATCTTCCTAAATTTTTTAATTATTGAAGATCGCCGATGAAGAGGCAAAAAAAAGAACTAAACCATTGCGTGTCAAGAAACTGTACGTGCTCGCGGCCTTGCTGGTGGAGCAGTACCACGGACAGGTGAAGAGCAGCCAGCGGGGGAAGGCCAGAGGGCAGAGCTCGGAGGTGAGGGGCAGGGAACAGCGGGAATCATGCGGGTGTGTGAAAGCCAAACATGTCACATTTCTCTTTACAGACACTTTAATTTGCATGTCTGCATTAATTTCTTTATATGATAGAGAAGAAATGACTGAGGAGTAGTGTTCAAACTTAGAAATTTCTTCTTAGAAATAATGGAAATTATTTTTAATAAAAGACTAATAGATAGTCTTTGCTTTAAAATTTTCATTTGTTAAAATTTTTACATACCTGGTAAATCTTTCTTTCTAATCAGAGGATTTTGAAAACTTCATGGGAATTTGTGTTAGCCTATAGAAGTGGAGGGTACCTAAGAATATGTGTATTACTTTACGATGTAAACAGATCTCAAGAGTACCTTAAAGTTTAATCAGTTCTGTTTAAAACTTGATTGTAACAGTGGACCAAAATAAGAATTATAATATCTGTCATGACAGTTTCATAATGATGAAGTCTGCTTATTTAGATACATTAATATGTTAGAGTTTCAGAAGCCACCTCATGGTACCAGCCGTGGCAGTGTGGCAGGTGATACTGTATGTGTTTGAGCTGATAGAAAGCATGCGTTGGCTTTTCTCTTAGGCCACTTCGGCTTTGGCTGGTTTGCTGGAAGAGGAAGTTCTGTCTACAACTAGCCGGTTCACAGACAATGCTTGGAGAGGGGCCGAGGCGTATCACTTCTTTATCCTCGCACAGAGGCAGCTGTATGAAGGCTATGTTGACACCGCGTTGAAAACAGGTGGGTGTGTCACCGAGTGTGTACAGCTTGTGTGGAAGTCTTCAATTTGCTTTTATATTAAGTTCAGTACCTTTATCCCTATGAATTTATTTTTACATGTTTAAAATTATGCTGTGTATAATTTTTGTACATCCCCCTTTTGAAATTTTTAAAAACTCTTTTTAGTATGTAGCATTACATTTAATTTACAGAAATACCAGAAATTTGACATCTTGAGGCATGGTGGCCCATGCCTGTAATCCCAGCACTTGTGAGGCTGAGGCAGGAGGATCATTATCTCTGTGAGTTCAAGGCCAGCGTGGGCTACAAAGTGAGCTCAAGACCAGCCTGAACTGTATAGTGAAACCCTGTCTCAAAAAGACACACACAATAAAAGTTTGACATAAGCAAAAATAGGCATAAAACATTCAGGTGCTCTCCATCTAAAGTTGAACATGTACTGGCCCAGTCTATATCCTTCTGGAAAGCTGTATCTAAATCTATATTTACTTCAAAGTTGTGAAAATTTTTTTCAAAATATAATGGCATAATTTTGTGTGCTTAAAAAAATTACGTTTTCATATTGTGTACATTTCTATAGTATTTGCCTTATTTTTTTATAAAAATAATTCTTATAATTTGAATCAAACCAAGAATATAAAGAAAAAGATAAATTCATCTAACAATTTTTAAAATAATCTTATAACTCAGATATAATCATTGCTTGCCTTTGCGTAAACTTCCTTTTAGATGTTTTTCCATGCTTGAGTTTACTTTTTCCTTTGTATGTTGTAATTATCCTCTCCCATAGGTAAACATAGATCTGTGTCATTTTTAATGTGTATAATACTCCATGATCTTTATGTACTATAATTTTATAGATTATTTACATACAGTATCCGGATCTAGATATCTTCTTGATTAACTATATTTTAGAGCTTAAATATATCAACTCCAGAGAACATCATTAGGAGATATATGTACAGCTGCAGCAGATGAGTGCCTGACATGTTACTGTACCTTCCGCATGGCTCTGCAATGGTCTCCCCTGCCTCCCACTCACGCTGTGGGCAACAGTGGAGCCCTCTCTGCCGCTCGGGTTGTCACTAAGTGTCCATCACACTTGAGCCCTTCTAGACCTCGATCTATGTTCTCATGGAAGGATTATTTTTAAAAACTCTTTCAGATAAATTCTTGTAATTGAATGTTTGTAGAATTCTATAAGGGTGATTTTTTGTTGTTGTTTGTATGAGATCTTTGGAGATTATATATAATCTCTTTTATATATATTGATTTCCCCCAGCATTTATAAATTATCATTACTTAGCCTTTCAGGGTCTTTTTTATGTAAAGTATGTATAATGGTATCTTCCACACAGAACTGTTTTAATGATTGAGAAGTTCTTGAAAAGAAAATTCACTTATAATGGTGCTGGGATTTGTGAGCTTTTAGTAACTTGTAGCTGTGATAAGGATATTGGTAGTGTTTTAATATGTCACATCTGGCAGTCTTTTCTTTTGTGTTTTTCACTTAGGAGTCATGTGTAAGAAGTCTTTCACTTCAAGTTTATTACATATTGTATTTTATAATAAGTTCTTTTGTTATCCTAAAGCCACTTATTAAAAATATATTCTTCCTTTACAGATTTGAAATTCTACCAGAAAACTTAATTTATATACATGCTTAATCCATCCTAGATAGTTGTTTTCTGTTCATATATTTCTGTGCTGGTATTTCCATCTTATTTACTTTTATATATAACATCTGGGACTTAAGCTCTCTATTTCTCTCCTTTTTGAAATAGATTTTTGGGTATTTTTGTGTATTTGTTCATCCAGATCAACTTAATCTTTTAGAGAGTAGGAGCCCACTGGGTTAAAATTACATTAACTTAATATATTAATATTTGGATCCTTGGTATATTTATGAGTTTTCTTATCTAGAAACATCAATTTTTAAAACCTATTTGTGAGCTGGGTGGGGTGGTGTGCGCCTGTAATCCTAGTTCTTGGGAGGTGGAGGCAGGAGGATCTCTGTGAATTTGAGGCCAGCCTGGGCTAGAAAGTGAGTTCAGGGCCAGTCTTAACTGCATAGTGAGACCCTGACTCAAAAAGACAAGAACAAAAGAAAATAAAAATACTAACACCTATTCGTGTATTATTTGTCTAATGAGTCATAGTTTTCTTCTTATATGCTCTAGACATTTCTTTTGCAGTCTATTCCTATTAGTGTTTCATTGACAGTGGATCTATATAAGTTTTTCTAATTGTTGACGTATTGTATAAAAGAATTTTATTTTTATAACTGACCTTCATTTAATTTTAACCAGTTAATATATAAATAAACTTTATACAGTTTCTAGACTTACATTGAAAGAAAACTTAGACCTTAGAGATTCTTCACCAAGGGGTTGAAGATATCCATATGCTTCAGATTTTTTTGTCTTTCAGTGATAAAATTATCTGAGCCAATATATGCCCTATAAAGTATTCCCTGTGAATATGTTACATTTCAGGTATAAAATTAGACAGTTGTATTTATTGTAACAATATGTTTTTGTAAATATCTTCCGCTGAACTTTTCAGCACTTGACCTTTTGAACCACTTTATAGGAATCTAATTATAAAATACTGATTATATTATTTTACTTATTTTATGAAAATTCCAATATACCATGAAATGATATTAAGACTGCAAGGTCTAAAGAAGAAAAAGAAACAAATTAATTATAAATCTGGTATTAATTCTGCAGTATATTTTTAATTTTTTAATTTAATTTTTTTTATAAGACAGGGTCTCACTATGCAGTACAGGCAGGCTTTGAGCTCACTATGTAGCTCAGGGTGGCCTTGAACTCACAGTGATCCCCCGTCTCAGCCTCCCGAGTGCTAGGATTACAGGCATGTGCCACCACGCTGGGCCTGCATTACATTTTTAAAGAAAGATAGCATCTCAGGTGTAGAAAAAATGCCAAAGTATAGCAGCTACCAAAATAAATGGTATGAACTGGCAATTTAGAGGCTAATTTTCATGTCTTTTTTCTTAAAGATGTGTATGTATTATTCATTAAGACAAACAAGCATTATTCAATCAAAGGAACACAAAGAGTAAACATATGATTTCATTTTGCTTTGCTTTTTTGCAAAAAGAAATATACTGAGAATTTTTACTAACAATATAATATTAAATTTTCTGGAATGCCACTGAAACTTCTTTTTTGGGGGCAGGTACCAAGAATTGAATTCAACCTTGTGCTTACCAGGCAGGCACTGTGTCACTGAACTATATCCTGGAGCCCCTGAAATTTCTAAGTGGAATAAAAAATGCATGTTTCAACACCAGAAACTTTTGTCTGTGTGTATCTTTTTAAATTGGCTTGACAACGTGCATCATTTAGTGGTGGATTTTTAAATTTTTTAATTACTTTAAAATTTTGTGGTACTGGGCATTGAACTCAGGACTTTGTACATGGGAGGCCATCACTCTGCCACTGAACTACTCCCACAGTCCTTTTTATTTTCGTTTGAGACCAAGTCTCGCTAACTCGCCCAGGTTCTCCTTGCATTTGTAACCCTCCTGCCACAGACTCCTGAGTAGGTGGGATTGCAGGAGTGTACCACTGGTCCTGGCTTAGTGGGGCTTACTTTTATAGGACCTGAGCTGTTTTTTGGCTTCACAGAACCTGGAAATCACATATCCTACTACATATCCTACTAGTGCACCTGTCTCTCAGCTGTTTTTTCTTTGTTTGTTAAAGTTCATGGATGTTAAACTAGAACACAATACATAACCTTTGCTGGGAGTGTTCATGATCATTTTCTAAAACCTCCATTGTCCTCTTTCATAGCTCTTCACCTGCGAGACTATGAAGACGTTATTCCTGCAGTTGAGATCTACTCTCTGTTGGCACTGTGTGCGTGTGCCAGTAGAGCCTTTGGCACTTGTTCAAAAGCTTTTATTAAACTGGAATCCTTAGAGACCCTGAGTTCAGAACAGAAACAGCAATATGAAGATCTTGCTCTAGAAATCTTTACCAAGCATGCTCCAAAAGATACCAGGAAATCTGAATTGGACAACCTCCTTGAAGGGTAGGCTAACTATAATCAGTAAACGTCATTGTTCCTTTTTAGAAGCTTGGATTTCTATATGTTTAATGTGTAATTCGGTAATTAAAGCATTGAATTTTGAATTAACTGACCTTAACAGTACACTGTATTTATATTAAAGTTTATTAGTGCTTTATTTTTCATTGTAAGTGAAGTTTTTATTTGAAAAATACATTTTGAAATAAAGAGTATTTTATTTGGTTTATCTTGAAGTATTTTTCATCCTTCAGGTTTTAATTATATTAAATACATTAAATGAGATTGCGTAGAGATTTTAGAATGTAATCAGGTGTTTTGTGCTCATTTTTACAGTGGAGAAGGGAAGCTGCCTACGTGTGTGGCCACGGGAAGCCCCATCACTGAGTACCAGTTCTGGATGTGCAGCGTGTGCAAGCACTGCGTGCATGCTCAGGAGATCGGCAGCTACGCCTTCTGCCCCCTGTGCCACAGCGCAGTGGGATAAGCAGAGGCGCATATGGATAATTGTAAAAGAGACATAGTGTGTAGAATTATATATGTAGTGAGGTTGATTTCCATTAGTTTTATACGAAAATCAGCTTCATTATTTTATAGTTGTATTTTTGCACAATATATATATATATAGATAGATAGTAGGTTAATTGTTGCACAGAAATACAATGATGAATTAAAGAGGCTCACTAATGTAAAACTTAGGAAGTTGATCTCATTTTCTATCTAGCAATCCTTTGTATATTTTATGATTGGTTATATAACACTGGAAATATTCAAATAAATATTTTTCTACAATGTCAACGTTGCTAATTCATTATAAAATCTCAGGGAGGTACATAGGGGATGGATGAAGCTTGTAAGTGAGCAAAGTTGAGTTTGGGGAATTAACACTAATCCTGTATTATAAGGAAATGAACTCTTTTGGCTGTATTTACTTAAAACCAAGGGGCATTATGGTGGGTAAAGAACACCCAAATCGTATTTTTCTAATGGAAACATGTACCTCAGCATAATGGTAGCTGGCTGTGCATCTCAGTAGCTGCACTGGGGGGCTACAGGGAGCAATCTTTGTGTTCATCCACTTGATCTGACAAATGGCAAGGTGGATGCATGGGTGTTAAAGTGTAGATGGGTGAGTTTTACCCACGTTATTTGCCATATTACATTTTTGTGTATATAATTTGTTTTGTTACATGTTTTCTTTTGCTTTTCCTTATAGAATTAGCCCAATTCAGTACAATACTACATGACAATTCACTTTTACAGCTTTGGGAGGAGGTTAAAAGTGAGTCATCAGGTGGCTCAGCTACTGATGATGACTTGGATCATGTAAGACAAAGAAGTTAGCAAAATATGACAGATAGAGAAGTACAGAATGAAGACCCTAATTCAGACGAGGAAGAAAACAGTAATGTAAGTAAATATTTGTCTGGTCAATATTGTACAAAATGGTCGTGAATACCTGAACTATCCAACCTTAGACCTAGCTCAAAAAATGTTATTACGTTCTTGCCAGGGGTGAAACCTATTGGATGGAATGTCAACACTGTGATTCAATGTTGGAAATTGTTTCTAATGCATGATATGCTACAAGATACTTTGAAATACACTAATAATGAAATACAAGAAAATATTCTACACGCATCAATAGTAATACTCAAAAATATTTATCATGACACCTCACTGAACTAAAAGCCTTCATAGCAGGACTTCATCATTGTAATTGTCAGAACCTAAAGGATTTATGGAGAAGTGGCAGATGTGGCACTTGGAAGGCTAAGGCAGGTGGATCCTATGAGTTCAAGGTTAGTTGGTTGTACATAGTAAGTTCAAGGCTAGCCTGGACTATGTAGCAAGACCCTGTCTAAGAAAACCAAACAACAGTGAAAAAAGATTGATAGCGAATTCTCAACACAAATGAAACCAGAAATACTCACATTTTACCACAAAACAAAAGGCGAAGCAGATGTTGTTGACCAGTTACACAGCAACTATGCAGTCACTTGGAACACAAAGTGTTGGGCTGTGGCTGTGTTTTACATAATTATGTCAAGCAAAGTTTCATAGTTTACAAAGAAAACAAGCACAAAATATCAGAGAAAGTTTTTTAGAGGATTGGGACTGGAATTGATAAATTATCGATTACAGCAGAGGGATAACAGTATGTATCTGCTCAAAGAACTTTGCAAAAGAATTCTGGAGCAGACTTAGGAACAGACAGGTGAAATACCACAAGAACCTCCTAACAAAACAGCAAGACCAGCAAGATGCCAAGTATGTCCTACCAAGAGAAGAACAGCAAAACCAAACACAAGTGCTGTCAGTGTAAGCAAGACTTGTGCATGGAACATGTTGCTGTCATGTGTGAAGACTGCCTCTAGGTATGATAACTGAAGCAAATATTATTTCTGTGGTAGAGTTTTATTTGTATTTTCACTGTAGTTCACACAGGAATATATTTGTGCTGTTATTTTTTGGATTGTATAAGCAGGTAAATAGTTGATGTTAAAAATGTTAATGTACACACATTACATAATTAAAAATTAATATTTTATTGTCCTATATATATTTATATAACTCATAGAATTAAAAATTAATAATTCACCAATAGAAATACTTCTAAAAGAGTGGATGTTGTACCCTCATAATTGGCCTTTCTCTTTTTTTGCCTTTCCTAAAAATTTATCACGATGGCCCTTAAACTAAGCAAGTATTAAATATTTTCTATGCTATATTTTTAAAAATGAGATGGTATTTTAAGATACTTTGTATAATGTGAATTGTTTTTAAATCTGTTGTTTTAGTCTATCCAAGAGAAGCATTTGGCATTCATTGTTATGCTGTTGTATAGAAACCTCAGCTGCACTGACAAGAGCTGACACAGACATGCACATTTTTTAGTGTTTTGAGAGATGCTGTTCATTTACTTCATTTCAGTTCTCTTGTTTTTAGTCCATGTTGCAGTGCATAATGGTGACATCCTTGTTGGGAGCTGGTGCACGGACACAGCACATCTCAGTTCTGTTTTCGTCTCCTTCCCCTCCCCTGTATTCCTCTCCCTGCATCTTTTGATCCCCCTCCCATTTGAGAAAGATCTGTCTCCCTACTTCCTATTATTTATGTTTTATTTTGCTCTTTATTTATATTTTGGGTTTCTCATATAAGAGAAATCATGTGATATACAAACTTGTGTTTCTGATTTATTTCACTTAACATTATGTTCTCAAGATGCACCTAGTTTCCTACCAATGTCTCAACTCTATCCTTCATCACAGAGTAGTACTTCAATGTATGTGTAAATACCACATTTTCTGTCCCCATTCATGTTTCTTGACATATAGGCTGCTTCCAAGATTTAGCTATTATGAACTGTGTTGCTATAATAAACATGGATGTGCATGTATCCACTGTAATATGATGTCTTTAACTCTTGGGAAGATACCTAGATGGGGAATAACTAGGTCAAATGGAATTTCTATTTTTTTTTTTTGTTTTTTTTGAGAAAGTTCCCTGCTGTTTTCCATAGTGGTTGTACTAATTTACATTCCCCTTAACAATGTAGAAGGGTTTCTTTTTTTCCATAGCCTTGCCAGAATTTATTATTTGATTTCTTGATGAAGACCATTCTTTCTGGGGTAAGGTGGAATCTCAGTGTTGTTTGAATTTGCATTTTTCTAATGGCCAGTGATATTGAACATTTCTTCATGTATTTATTGGCCATTTTTACTTCTGAGAAGTACTGATTTGTCTCACTTGCCCATTTTTAAATTGTGTCTTGTCTTTCTGGGGGTCTAATTTTTAAAAAATTCTTTCTATTCTAGATGTTAGTCCTCTATGTGAGGAATAGCTGGCAAAAATTTTTTTCCCTTTGGTAGATTGTCTCTTCACTCTATTAGTTATTTCTTTTGCTGTACTGAAGCTGTTTTTAAAAAATATGATCTCACTTTTTGTTTATTGGTACTATTTTCTATGCAACTGGGGTTCTGTTAAGAAAGTCCTTGCCTATAGCTATGACTTCAAGAGTTTTACCTGTCAGATCTTTTGGCAAATTATTTCTGTTTCAGCATTTAGATCTTTGATCCATTTTGATTTCAGTTTAGTGCATGGGGAAAGATCTGGGTGTAGACTCAGTCTTTTGCATGTGGATAGTTAGGTTTCCCAGCACCATTTATTGAAGAGGTTATCCTTCCTCTGGTGTGTGTTTTTGTCTCCTTTGTTCAAGATCCAATAGTTGAATGTGCACAGGGTTGTTTTTGGACCCTGTATTCTGTTTCATTGATCTATCTATCTGTTTTTGTGCCAGTACTGTGCTATTTTTATCACTGTAGCTTTGTAATGTAACTTCAAACCTAGGATTGTGATGCCTTCTGCTTTACTATTGCTACCCAGGATTGTTTTTTATATCCTTGGGCTTTTCTGCTTGCAACAGAAATTTTAGGATTGTTTTCTTCAGTTCTGTAAAGAATGCTGTTGGTATTTTGATTGGGATTGAGTTAATGCAACATATCAGTTTTGGAAGTGTAGCCATTTGACTATATTGATTCTTGCTGTCCAGGAACATGAAATATTTTCTGATGTCCTCTTTGATCTCCTTTCCCAGAGTACTGTAGTTTTTGTTGTGAGGTCTTTCACCTTCTTTAGTTAGGTTAGTTGCTAAGTATTTAATTTTTCTCAGTGCTATTATGAATAGTAATTTTTTCCTAATTTATTTTTCAAAGTCACTATAGGAATGTTGATTTTTGTACCCTGCCCTGCTGAGTTTGATTATCAGTTCTAGAAGTTTTTTGATTACTTTTCTTGGGTGTTCTATATAAAAGATCATATTGTCTGTAAATTGTAATTTGACTTCTTCCTTTCCTATACGTATCCCTTTTATTTCTTTGTTTTGTCTAATTGCTCCGGCCAATATTTTGAATACCATTTTGAACAGGAGTGGTATTGTGGTTTGTGTTAGATGTTCCCCCAAAGCCTCATGCAGTCATAGAGGTTTTTTTGGAGGTGGCTCAATCTAGGGACTGTGATTTATTTGCAGTGCAATGCTGGGATTAAGAGTGCTGGGATTAAGGGTGAGTAATTGCTGGATCAGTCCACTGACTCGGTTGGCACCACCCTAATCCCAGCAGTCTGGATAAAATAAAAGGGGAAGAAAGAGGTTTATTTCCCCCTCTTTGCTCTCTGTTTCTCATTGCTTTGCTGTCTTCTGCCACCATGAACTGTTGCCCCTCTGCCTTGGAGCCAGCCAATTATAGACTGAAACCCTACAAAACGAGCTAAATAAACCTTTCCTCCTTTGACTTTGGGTGTCAGGTATTTTATCCAAGCATCGAGCAAAAGTAACTAAGACAGAATTTGAAGTGGAGTTTTTGCCATTACTGTACCTGACCATGTGGCTCAGGAGCCTTGGAAGTGGCTAATGGGACAAGTTTGGAAAGGTCTGGTGATGCTGGCTGAAAAAAGCAGTCCTGGAAAGCCTTAGGCTGTACTTGATGGGAGGTTCTGCTCAGAGCTGAGAAGACCAGAATGCTGATAGAAATGCCACCAGTAAAGACCAGGGTCAGGAGTTTCCTGCTGGGAAGGACTACATTGGCAGTTGGACTCCAGATGATATATATTATGCTTTGGCAGAAAGTTTGTCTGCATTTTTCTCAGTTCCAGGAACTTTGCTTAAGACTAAGATTAAAGGTTTTGGACTAACTAATCTTGCAGAAAAAATTTAAGACAAGTAAAATGTTGAGGCAGTGGCATGACTACTGTTGGGGGCTTTTAGCCAGATCTATGTGGTGAATCAAGAATAAAGATCC